GGTTTTGGTAAAAGATGAGAACTGCTATTTTTGTTTTATGTTTCTGACTTCCTCTAAATGTAATATTCTAAGATAGGAATCTGCCAACGGCTGGTTGACAGAATTCCAATGCTATGCATGTCGCTCATTGGCTAAAAGATGCTGCTCTCAGCCAATAGGAATCCTAAGTCTCTATGGACCACCCGTCGTGGTGGTCGTAAATGTATGTAGCCATTGGTGTACCTTACACCAAGGTCGAGGAAGTGTTCAAACCTCTAACAGACGTCGTATCTGTGAGAGTTACAAGTGACTGTAGCCACTTGTGCGTGTAACCCCGTTACACCATCCCCCCCCCCTCAATGTTAGACGCGCCGAGTCATGGTACGTCAATCAGGAAATTGACCATTCGTCAATTCTTCACGTTGGGAGAAAGAAAACTCGAGCTCATTCCGCAATAAGCTCGCCTCGGAAGAAGACCGACGCTGCAGCAGAGGGGAAGTCCTCCGCCGGGATAGAGACTCTCTCTATCCCCGAGTACCGCGAGCGTCTCAAAGCAAAGCGTGACGCTCTTGCTACCAAGGCTGCGGCGGGGACAACTCAACCAGAGATTGTCCTCGAAGGTTCTTCTGTAGTCAACGACGCCGTTGACTTCGAGGACGACGACGTGGAGATGGAAGAGGCGAGGCCTCTTCTAGCAAGCGCAAGGAGTCTATCGACAGCGATAGTCTGGACCCGCATGCCGGGTCGAGACGCCCTCGTGAAGTAGACGACTCGGACGCTTCGAACTCGAAGCGTTCGCGCGGCGAGAGCGACACTCCGCTCTCTGCTGCTGGGGCTTTAAGCTCCCCGCGTGAGGTGGCGCCTTCAAGCTCTCCGCGCGCTGCTCAGGCAGCGCACGATCCGTGCATGCCGTCTGCGTCAGAGATCGCAGACCGTGTGGGGAACACTGTGCCTCCTAACGAAATCCCGCTGTACGTATGCAGTGGTATCCACGACGATGCTGTTGCGGAGGAGCAGCACTTTGATCAGTTAACGAATCAAAGGTGCGATTATTACATCGGGCTCTTCTACGAGCTCCGGTACTTCTCCAGCAAGAAGACTTCTTCTCGCAGCAAAGTGCCTGAGTGGCAGGCACTTTGTCAAAGTTGGAATGCTTTTGTTGAGAACTTCAACAAGAAGCCGGTTGCTTACCGTGAGCGTGTTAAGCATGCCCGTGAGCGCTTCGAGACATTCTCGACGCGCGGGAGGCTGGAGCAGCTCCCCAGATCCTCTGTGGACGCTGGTATTCCATGCGCTGTGCCTGAAGGCCATCAGTGCACGTTGTGTATTCCGGGTGCGGCGCGCTTCAGCGACCGCGACCTAAACGGGTACACGACGATTCGTGTACCTGAGAGTCTCAAGGATCTTCGTGCCAAGTTCTTGGCACGCGAGGAACGCGACGATCGTGGGACCTCGGGCGCTGTAGGTGACCACAGCGCTCGCACTACCTTCGCGTCGGCAGTGCACGGAGAACTTCGTACGCCCTCACCATTTCCGGGACGTCCTGCAGCAGGACGTCCCGTGGTTCCCATGTATCTTGGTGGGGCGGAAACCCTCTCCAACGAATACGATAACGAACCGGCTGCCGGTTCGTTTTCGGGATACTATGGTTCAGAATACGCTCAACAATCGAGCGTGTTGAGCCGCGGGCGTCGCGGATCGGAGGCGGCGGTGGTGGGAACACGCCCCGGGTATGGTCAACCTGGGGTTGACCTTGGCCCAACGCTCGAGGAGCGGGTCGCTGCTGTGGAACAGCTTCAGAGCCGGGAGTTTGCCGCTCTGAAGCAGGAGGTGGCGATCTTGAGGGCTCAAGTTGCTTAGACCTCGCAGACCGCGTCGGACATCTCTGTCGACGTGGGAGGTCGCGTCGCACGCTTGGCCCAGCGCGTTCACGCGCTGGAGCAGAGGTTCGCTCCCGCTGGGGCTTCCGCTTCGGGCTAGCCGAGCTGGGTGGCTCATACTGCCGATATGGTTTCAGCCGCCCGACGTAAAAGGTCGAATGGAGGCGCATGCTAGATGGAATATCTAGCGTGTAGGCGTTGCCATGCCGTGTCAACACCGTGAACGGCCCGATGAAGCGTGGAGCGAGCTTGTTCGCCCCGAAGTCGGAAACTGCATGTTTAGGCAGGTTTTGAGTAGCTAACAAAACCAATGAACCCTTCTTCAATTCATTAGTGTTGCCCCTACCAACATTGTCTGGTTCAGCTTCTGTCGGTCGACAGAAGCTGCGATAGCGTCTTGGACAAACCGAATGACGGCTTGTCTGCGCTGCGCGAAGTTGATTGCGTCCGAGCTGAACGAGTTCAGCTCGTTTCTAGCAGTAGGCCCGGCCTCTGCGTTTGTCTTCGCGGTGTCTGTGCCCTGCACAGACCCATTCTGCTTTTTCTCCTTGCTCTTGTCGGCGTCTGTGGCCTGCACATACGCGTGTTTCTTCTTTTTGCGCGTAGTCGCGGCTGACACTGTCCAAGTGTCAGTGGCATACTGCGGCTGCTGCGTTGTAGTCGTAGATCCTCCCCCACTTAAGGAAGGAGCCACCAACCCGAGTAGACTCGGGAGGCGTGGGTGCCTCATGGCATTCACGTAGAACGGTGTATGCCCGGTCGAGGCATGCGCCGAGTTGTTGATGGCGAACTCTGCCATCGGCAGGCACTCGCTCCAGTGTTGGAACGAGTGAGCGTATCTCTTAAGCACGTCTACGAGCACGCGGTTCACGCGCTCGGTCTGCCCGTCCGTCTGTGGATGGTCTGCAGTCGACATCGAAAGTTGACTCCCAAGAAGTGTAAACACTTCTTGCCAAAGGTGTGCATGAAGCGCGGGTCTCGATCCGACACAATGTCGATCGGCATGCCATGGTGTTTGTCAACGAACAGACGTGCCGTCTGTTTCGCAGTCACTTCAGCGGGTACCGCAACAAGATGTATCATCTTGCTGAAGCGGTCAACAAAGACCACAACGCCCGTGTTCCCCTGGCTGTCCGGGGGAAGACCGAACACGAAGTCCAAAGACATGGACTGCCAACACTCCCGTGGAGTTGGTAATGACTGCAAGGGAGCCTGCGCGAAAGGCGCAGGCTTCACACGTTGACAAACCTCGCAAGCACGGACGTACTTGCGCACCCATTTATACTGGTGGGCCCAGTAGAAGTCTCGCGTGAGAAGAAGGTATGTCTTCTCACGGCCCGGATGCCCCGCAGTCGGTGCATCGTGATAATCGTACATGATCCTGAGTCGCAGGTCCTGGTCAGTGGGCACGACAACGCGGTCCGCGTTGTCGTCGACTGCACTGTAGAGTAATAACCCGTCGTGCACCCGATAACGGTGTGCACGAGCACGAAGATGCTTCGGCAGCTTCTGACGAGCTTGGTCAGAAGGCGCTGAGCCGTAGGCCAGCAAGAGCTTCGCGTCCGCGTCGTGCGCGTACGCGACCTTCACGTCGTCCAACAGTAATGACGTCGGGGTGCTCGATCGCATGGCGTCAATGGCATTGACGTCGGCATCAGTCGTGGCGTAGTCAGGTCGACGCGAGAGCGCGTCGGCCACCACATTGAGTCTTCCGGGTTTGTACTCAACCCGGAAGTTATACTCTGCGAAGAATGAGAGCCATTTCGGCATCCGTTGCGAGATGTGCGGCGCCTTCACAGCCGTCCCCAGCGACACGTGGTCCGTATAGACCACGAACGGTTTGCTTCCGCGTAGATACACTCGGAACTTCGCGAGTGCGTACTTCATGGCAAGGCGTTCCTTGTCATGTACCGGGTAGTTGCGCTCAGCTGGCTTCAGCTGGCGCGATTGGTAGTAGACGACACGATCACGACCCTCGTGATCGTGCTGCATCAACGCACATCCGATTGCGAAGGCGGATGCGTCACACACAACGTGGAACGGGCGATCTTGGTCGGCCACCGCCAAGATAGGCGCCTCAGGCAAGCCCCGCTTGACTGCATCGAAGGCCTGCTGACACTCAGCAGTCCAAACCCACTCGGCGTCCTTCTTCAGGAGCTGTGACAGCGGGCGTATCATGCCCGCGTAGTCCTTCACGTACTTGCACAAGTACGTGGCCAAGCCAAGAAACTGCCGCAGTTCCTTGACGTTCGACGGCGTCGGCCACTCATTGATCACTCTGACCTTCTCAGGGCCAGGGCGGACACCGTTCTTCCCAACGAGACACCCGAGCACAGGTATCTCACTCGCCCCGAAGATACACTTCTTCAGGTTCGCATAGAGCTTGTGCTTGCGCATGAGCGCAAGCAGCTTCCGGAGATGCACAAGGTGCATCTCAACATCGCTCATCCCGTCCGCAGCCCGGCTGTGGACGAACACATCGTCGAAGTAGCTCGGTGCGAAGTCGCGTACCGAGCGCAACAAGTGCGTCACGCACCTGTTGAAGGTCGCAGGGGCGTTCTTCAGACCCTGCGGCATCACTAGCCACTCCCAGAGCAGCCGCGTGGACACTCTTCGAGATGTTGCACGAATCAGGCTTCAGCTTGGGCATCCCTGAGAGGACGGGAGTGTATGACTGGGACCTCGAGTCGTGGACACGTACGATCCGCGGCGTCTTCGGACCGTTGACGGTCCTGGTCGGATCCAGGGACGGGCCCAATCTCGACGCAGAAGATAACTTCGTCCCAGTCTGAGTCGAGCGTGCATTTCACGTCGAGGTCCAAACCCCGACGCGACGTAGATGACGAACCCGCCGACTTGTTGGACGTGGACTTCGGGATGCCCAAAACCACGGCCGCGATCTCAACCACAACTTCGCCGGAACTGGACGAGGTTTCCATCCATCAGAGCGAGCCGCCGCGCGCTACGCCCCGTGAGGTCGCGCCAGTGCGTATCACGGTTCTGCCGGATCTGAAGGAAGCAATTCCTTAGGCGCTGGAAGAGGCGAGCACGCAGTCTACGACAACTCAGGCGTCGAATACCCATGTCTCTGCAGTTCATGTCGAGCCAAGAAACTCGACGCGAAAAACCTCGACGCAGAAAATGTCGACGCGGGACGCGTCGAAGGAGATGCACCAGCAAGAACTTGGTAATCACGCCGTGATGCCCGTCGGCGAGCGCTCTACAACACGTCCCCAGCCGCGTCTCGGTTCGGGCAGCGACTTCGACGATCGGATGAGCCTTGAGGTTGATGCACTCAGACATCGGGCGATGATTGCAACCACTACGACGTGCTCCGTCAAATCGGCCGCACCTCCGCGACTTCGACGGTCCGCAGCTGCTCATGGACAAAACCCTTGGCTGGCGTCATCTGGGTCCGTCTCAGTGCCGGTTGCGATGACATCTAGGCGACCGTTGGGCACGGCGCGGGCCTCGACGACTCCCGAGCAATCGCGTTACGACGCACGAGTGCGACCGGTCACACTCGACGCGCTCAAGCAACTCGACCCGGGGCGAACGTTCGACATTCGCTTACGTTCCAGCCGGGATGCACCGCGCCTGTGGGTCACGCGCAGCAAAACGTGGGTTACAACCATATTTAAGAGTAAGATCGAGCGACAAACATACCTGCGGGTGACCAACCTCACGGACGAGACAATAACGCTCGACGCAGGCATGACAGTGGGCTGGTGGACACCCTCCGATGTGTTTCCGCCTGCGCCCCGCTTCTTACTGGCGACTAATCGACATTACCAAGATTGGCAGAACCTGGAGTATGAAGTGACCGGGGACGATGACGAAACCTGGCGGGATGATGAACTCGTCTGGCCCATGTATGGATGGCCGACGGACGAAGATCTGGAATCGACGCGCGTCAGGGTGAGCAAGAGGAGGAAGATCGTACGGGCAGTAAGCCGAGATTGTACCCAGTTGTTGTCGCGAACTCACTGCCAGCAGGGCGGACGTGTGCGTCTGAAGCGGCGGCGTCGCCGGACGACAAGTCACCGAAGTACGGCCCCTCGACGTGGTTGCGCGAGATGACGACGGAAATAACCGTCGTGAGGACGACGTGCGTACGGTCGGACCAAGGGTCGCGGAGAGGCGACTATGCGGGACGCCCAGATGAAGCGCCTGGAACTGAACAACAGGTCGACGATTCGTTGGACGAGGTGGTGCGAGGCGTGCAATTCTATGGGAGCTCGCGGCAATGGGGCGAGATGCGACAGCCGGACGAAGAAGGGTCGCACGTTGAGAAATCCAGTCGCGACGAGTCGCAGAAGTGCGACAGCGTGAGACGGGTGAGATGGAACGTCGTGGAACAGTCGGATGAACTGTCCCAGAAATGCGACACCGTGAGACGGAGGGAATGCGACACCGTGCGACAGCCGGGCGAAGGGGCGCAGAGACGCGACGACCTGAGGCTGGCCGAATGCGACACTGGGAGACGATCAGATGCGAAGTCTCAGAAGTGCGACAGTATGCGACCTGCGGAAAAAGGTGGAGGATTGCATCGTTGGAGTCATTCCGCCGTCGAAAGCGTGAAGAACAAGTCGAATTCGACCTTCGACGTTGTCAACGAGGAGCTTGACGATTGCTGGACTGGACAACCGGCGCAGTCAGCGGAGGAAGGGCATCGCATCGTTAACCTCGAGCTATTATGCGGCCTCAAGAGGCATGAAGGCGCCAGGTTTGCGGTCTACCGAGGCGACGTATGCGATGCGTCGAGGGAAGCGGCGCGATCCACCGTCGCCAAGACCGAATGCCATGGCGTGCCGCCCGAAGGGTTGCTGATCGAGGTACCAGGTGCCACTCGACGGATGCACAGTGGAGTCGATGAACCTGCCGCCCGTAAGACGGTGGACGAGGGGTCTGCAGCTATATTGACTTCAGACCCGGGATGCACTACAAACCCCGTGTTGTTAAGACACACCTCGAGGCAGGGCCGTGGGGCCCGACGCGCTGACTGGACGCGTACTCAGGTAGGCGACGCGGCGGAAACCTCATCGCAGACCTGGTACGCGAAGGCACAGCACCGCCGAGAGGTCACCGGGGAGCCGGATCCTGAGGAACGCGGTCAACGCCCCGCGACGGCCGGTTGCGCTGACGCGATGCACAGGACGATGGACGGTGCCGACTCGGCGAAGACTCAGGTGGAGGGTCATCCAGCCTACTGCAGTGCAGTACGCGTCGAGCCCGGGCGCGACGAGGATGCCAGAAGTTCCACGTTGCACGACGGACAGTCGCGCTGACGCGAGACGCGGGACAAGGATGCCAGGAGTTCCACGTTGCACGACGGACAGTCGCGCTGAGACGAGACGCGGGACGAGGGACGGTGACGCCAACACAGCAAGGGCGCAGGTGGTTGTCATACAGCCAGCGGATCGCTCGCGAGAAGATATCCGACCCCGGACGTTAGATCCAGAAACCGCGTCGCCTGCTAATCTCGTCGCGGAGGATTGCGACGCGAAAAAACTCGACGTGGAAAATCTCGACGCGAAACGCGACGCGAAAAATCGCGACGAGGAAAACTGCGACGAGGACAACCCTGTCGCAAACGTGCCGGAATTAGGCCCGCCGACGCCGGATAACATGGATTTGGGGCGCGGGACCGCACACGTCCTCGCGGTGACGATGCGCTCGGCTTCTGCGCACGCAACGAACCCCAGAGACAGAGCTCCAGATGTCCTACAAGAGCTGGCTGCTCAGCACCCATCGAGCTTGGCCAAGACCCCTCCCAGAGCGGCTAAATGCGCCGAAAGTCATGGCCCGGGGCATTTTACGGGGCGCGGCGCGCTAAACGAAGACGCGTCGTGCGGATCTGGTGATGTGTTCAAGTTTTTGGGTGACGTATGGGTCGCGACGAGAAACACGTTACGCGACGACACGAAGTCAAAACGCCTAGGGTTACGCGTTCGACAGAACCGCCGACTCGCGCAGGTGAACGCGCTAGAAGTCGACCAAGATGTAGACGTCCCAGATCGGACTCGGGGCGACGTCGCGACGACGGACACGGCTGAAGTCAATTTGCCAATACGGTATCGCGACAGTCCCGGTTTGCTTAACCCCTCTAACCCCGTATTCTGTATCCTACAGAATAAGCATTGTCACAGGACATAATATCCAGCAAACTTGTCCTCTCTTTCAAACTTCGCATATGGATGTTTGTATAGCCGGTATTGTGCACATCTTCCTGTTAGATTAGCGATGGGAAGATAAACGGGGTTTATTCCGCGGTAATAGACGGACGAGTATAAACCACCAACAGGTTTGAAAATTCGGGTGGAAGCCTAAAACCGCCGCGTGTCAGCCACTCGTACTTTCCTTCATTCCGAAACTGCGCTGTTCAAGACGTCGCAATGCAAGCTTTGTTGGGGCCCGTCGAGCGCGCCCAAGTGGCCAAGGACCATGGCCAAAGACGATCATGATGAGCGCCATTGTGATCTACAGGTAAGCGAGAGCGTGTACTTTGCTCTGTAACATTGTACTATTGGAATATTGATTCTACGTTGCGATGTTGATTACCAGACCTGGTGATCCGACCCAGACGACGCTATGAGCACTCGCGTGTGGCCCGATTGGCAGATCGATTGCGGAGTCAGCGCACAACCTCATCGGTTCCTACGAAGCCGGCTACAGCCGGGTCTACCGCTATATTGTAGCTGATGCAGAGGCTACTCAAGAGGCTGCAGAAGAAGCGCTCCTCATGGTGTGGCTACACCGGAGACTACAGAAGAAGCGGTAGATGCTACGACGCATGCTACAGAAGAAGCTCATCGCGTGATGAGGTTACACCGGAGATTACAGAAGAAGGGACAGAGGCTACGACGGAGGCTACCGATGAAAGCGGCAGGAATGGAGCGGCAGTGCCGGAGGCTACAGAGCAAAGCGGAGGCTGCCAAAATGGCGAAGATGACCCACGGCTGGCGCGAACATTGAAGAGCGTGCGCATGTAAAGGAAGAAGTAGACGTTGGCATGAATATCATATATTGGCCTGTTTCGTACAAGAGGAACCGTGTGTAGTGCGTGTCATTACGGGCTATTGAGCATGCAAGCTCCCTGGTGTTGTTAGAGAGACAATCGTAACAAGCTTGTTAGGTGGGCTAAAGAAATCTAATGATGCGCTAATGTCAAACACAAGGAAGAATTCGCCCAGTTCCTCCTCACTACGTCAGTTAGGAACAGGGCGATTTCGTCCTCCGCGTTTATCGCGACGTGTCGAAGATGGGTGGCTGGAGCCGAAGTATGCTGCCTTAGCAGCCTTGCAAGGTATTACCATGTAGCAGGTTTTGAGCGTGCTCTACGCTCGCCACGACCAATAGAAGTTCGCCATTTCGGCATATGGTGGATACATTGAGCATGTTTTGTTCACTTTCGTAGCTGTTCTGTGCACAATGTACTCAGCGCTTGACCGCGAGATGCGAAAGGGCTTCCAACAGCAAATTTTTGACAGGTTTTGAAGCATAATTTAATCAAGTCTAATGATTATTCTGTAGGATACAGAATAAGGTCTGGGGCTAGAAGGGTTAAGCGCATGCCCGACGCACTGGTCGGTCGCGAGCTGCGAGGTCATGAAGGCAACACGGCGGGAAACTCGTCGCGGACCCGGTACGCAGAGATGCTGCACCACCGAGAGGAAGTCGTCGGGAAACCAGATGCCACGAAACGCGGTCATGTCGCGCGACGGGCAGTCACGCCAAAGCGAGTTGCGGGGCGATGGGCAGTGGCCTCGACGCGGCTAGGACGCAGGTGGCCGGCATCGATCCTGCTGCAACGAGGAACGCGTCGAGCACAATCAGGAGGCCTGTTGAAGTGTCGAAATATGTGGAGGGTCCAACGTCAGTACAGCTCTCAGCGTGCGACGACGCGATAAATAGAAACCCACCTTGCGTCGAGGCTGATTGGGAATTCGAGGTTGCGAGGAACGTGTCGGACGCCACGATTGACTCGTCGTGCGACGGAACAGAGTCGACGCACCGAGGGATATGCATCCTTCAGAACCGCCGACTCGCGCAGGTGAACGTGCTGGTAGTCGACCAAGCCGGGGACGACGCCGATCGTACCCAGAGCGACGTCGCGGCGATGAACAGGGCTAGAGTGAATTCGTTGATGTCATATTGCTGGGATCGAGCTGGGGCACTAGCGCTGTGAAGAGCGACGGCGTTGCGTACTCAAAGGTCAGGGACAAGCACACGAGGGCGGTTCGCGTCGTGGTGGACTTGGCGACCTCGTTTCGGCTCGCGCGCGACCGAGATCCGCGGTGTACGTCAAGGGCGATAATCGCCGTCGGAAAACTACCGCACCAGTGCGCCGAGCCCAAGCGACGGATGCTACAGATCGGACCGCGTGCGCAGATGCAGTGCGTCAAGTTGTGCGCCAAAGCGCAGGACAGTCCGACCGAGTCGCGTCGCGAGACGAGTAGCTCGCTTCACCAACTGTATTTCGACGTCCGCACCTCCAAGCAAAACCCCGTTGAAGAGTTTCCGTCACACGCCGCGACGTGTTTGGCGGTGTCGACGAACGGACGGTTTGACTCCACCGATACGTGTTTACTGGAGCACAGCCCGACACGCGCAGCGGACGAGGATGCTTCCGAAGGGGAGAAGACCTTGGAGCTGCATGCCGGCCGAGCTTCCCGACATGGATGCGCGCGCCGCGAGAACGACGTGACCTGGAGAGGCTATACCGACGAACTAGATGCCAACTGCGGAAAGTGGCGACGCGACTTCTCACGTCAGCGAATCGGCCGTTATCGTCTTGGGGCGATCTATTTGCGCGACGACGAGGGGCGGCTGAACCGAGCCCTGGTGGATGAGCGCCTTTAGTGGTGCGGTGAAAGTTGGCAGGGTGGCTGCCGACAGGAGGATAGGTGGAAATCCTCGACTTTGGGAATGGCCGGAGCGAGGGGTTGGATGAGGGAAGTGTGGAGGACCAGCCTGTTGCTGAAGATGGGAAGGCGGAGGGCCGTCTCATAAAAGATGTGAAGAAGTGGGAAGAAACGAAGGAAAAGAACAAGAACCACGTGTTGGAGTTACGGCTACAACGACTACGTGCAACGACAACGTGGTGCACTAGGGACCCCTCAATGGGGTCTATGTCAGTGAACGCGACGAGGGACGTCGCCGACGGCGACGCTTGGTCTGCGGGCAGCACGCTTGGGCGTCGCTGTCCGAGGCCTCGGACTTGAACTCCGCTGTGACTTGACGCGCTCGATCGACAGCAGCAGCCGAATGCGACGCGACTGCAAGCCTTGGACGGCTGCGCTATCCGAAGCGGTCATGTCGGCCGCTGTCAAAGGTCGCCGACTATGCCGCCGAGACGAAGGCGAAGACGATGGAGTCGAGACCGAACTGGGAGGCCTGCACGCTTGACGCGTTGATTCCCCGGCTCCGCTGTACCGAGGTCGTCGGACACCCGCTGATGCTGGCGGCGGAGTAGACGCCGGACCTGGACGAAGCGTCGGACTTGGATGGTGCGTCGGAACCCGATCAGTACCCGCGAATAACGAGGTATTAGCCTCAGGACCGAAAACGGGGGCGGCAGGACGAACGCTGGCGCCCGTACTCGACGTAGTGGAGGCGAGACACGAGCAGCGGGAGCCGCCGCTCGGCTTGACTCCACAGGCCACAGTGTTCATCTCCACCGCGACGGAAGCTTCAAGTCGACTGATTAGGTCGTAGGTGTCGATGTACCCGCCTAAGGACGTGACGACACCGGCAAGACGTTCTGGAAATCCATTGCGCACGTGCTACGCCATCTACTAACCTCGACGCGCTTCCCGAAGCACTCGTTCTCAAACCGCGACATGCTCGTCGAGGTTCTGGATGGCCACGTCGCGCTCGTCTTCCAGCTCGATTACGTGAGCGCTGGGACGGTGGACTTGAGCGTTCGCGGCCTCTCGCCGCTACCCCCACACGCGCCGTATTCCCAGCCGCGCCGCGCGGTATTGCGCCGCTCGAGACGTGGCCTGAAACTCGACGATTCCTCCAAGTCGCGGATACGCGTCGCGCCCCGCCGGAGTTCTTCTACATAGGTCACAAGGAGCGCGTTAATGTGCCGAAGGTCTACTTTGAGCGGCTCGTTAAACGCTGCGCCGACTCGGCTTCCGCAAGGCTCTTCGTGAGTGCATTACGAACAAGGGTGATATGCTCAACGAGGGTAGTGCGTCGCCGCACGAGCGCGATGGACCTGGTCTCTCTCGGTGACGGCGGTGTTGCACTCCTCTTTGGAGAGCCGAAGCTTGACGCACTTGGTCCCTCGCGACGCTGGAAGCGTCGCGCGCGCGGTCGCGCTCGGCGAAATCTACGCCGCGTTGCTGTTCCGCAGCTACGAAGGATTGCTGTGCTTGATCACATTCGGCCATGGCAGCGCCGAGTCGCGATTGGACCGGGGAGAGGCACTTTGGGCTACCGCGAGCTGATCGGACGGGTCAGGGAGGCGAGATCGATGAGCTCTGCTTGCATAGACGACGATTTCGGCAGCCTCGAGGTCTCGGGCCCGCCCTCCTCGACGTAGATGTCCTCAGCGCGAACCATGATACTTGAAAGGCGACGAAGCGGACGGCGACGACAAAAATGCAACGAATCGGGATGCGGCCACAGCGCGGGGCAGGCTCTGCAACGACACACGCATCTGGGGAGTGCGCGTGCGTGGCAGCGGGGCGGTTGTGGTGTAGTGCCCCGCGAGGAAGCGGGCACATCGACGCCGGCGAGAGGAGGCGCCAAGATGGAAGCCGACTGACGCGAAGGATGGAACTCGGCTCGGAGGATGGAGCTCGATGCAGTTGGTGGAACGCGACGCGATTGGTGGGGGGCGACGCGCGGCAGAGATCGACGGGAAAAGTCGACGCGGGTGATGGGCCGTGATACACGGCGCCAGAGTCCAACTCGACGCGTAATCATCCGACGAGTCGACCAGCGCCCCGTCTCTGCAAAACGCGCCGACCCTTATCCCCGCCGAGCAAAACCCTCCGAGCAAGACGCGCCGAGCAAAACCCGCGGAGAAAGACGCGCCGACCCTAAACCCCGCCGAGCAAAACGCGCCGAGGTAAGATCTTGATTACGCCACGCAAACCAAGTTGAAGGACGGCAGTGCAAGCACGACAGAAGTAGGGATAGGCCCAGAGCGGTAGACTTAGCAAGCAGTAGTACAGAGTAGCCAGTAGCAAGGATATAGGATAGGGTAAGGACTCAGTCCCGAAATTTCTCTGAACCACAAAGACCTCCCGTCTTCTCCGAGGTTCCAGGGGAACCACCAAGCACCGGCAAGAAGAGCCGCCTCGATATCGCGGCCCCCCGTCGTTTGCTGGTTCGGGTGCTCACCCCCCACAGACCCGTGCTGGAACAAAGGCACGTTCAACGTATACCGTTTAGGTGGGCGCCCGATAACGCGCTGCCTAGGCGAAGGACCGCACTGGCCTGATAACCGCCGTGCACAAGACCCCCGTGTAGGCCCGATAACGCCACACAAGCCCCAGGAAACGCCGGCCTGATAACGCCGCACGCCCGACGGGAACGCCGAGGAAACGCCGGCCCGATAACGCCGCACGCCCAAGGCTCGACGCCCTACGACAAGGAACAAGTGTCAACACAAGAACCCCCAACTCCGAAGCCTGCGAAGACTTGGGCCTGTATTTCGAAGATACGCTACTCCAACAACCGGGAATAATTTGCTCGGCGCGACCGCTATCCAGACGCGCCGAGTTTGTGCGAGATCGACTCCGCGAGATTTCTGCGAGGCCGCTACTCCACACTGTGCAAGTTGCGTCACGCCCTCCGGGCCCAGCAAGGACATAAGCTTTTTAAGCGCTTCCTGCTGGTTCGGGGGCAAGTGAGCGAACTGCTCCATTTTCCACAGAGGGTCAGTCTATACAGACTCAGGTTTCGGATTGACTACGAGTGCTACCAAGTGCAGCGGGGCTGCCGTAGCTTTAGCGTCAGAGGAAGACGTAACAGACTCTCAGAGTCTCAGCTTAAGATAGCCCGTTCTAATACCAGAACGTACGAGTCCGTACACCTTACGGACTCCAACAGTCAACCCTTAACTCTTAACTGTGTGAATCTCAAACTGAATGTATTTCCCTTTAGCGCGGCCAAGCCGCCTACGGTGTAAATATATCTGGTTCACTATCTAACATAGTGAACCCAAGTCATATGCATAATCAGTGGCTCCGAAGCCATGTACTGATTTTACTACTGATTTAGGTTAGACAGTGTGTACCCACTTCGTAACCCTTCGGGTAACTCTCGTGTAACCCCGTTACAATTCCTATTGGCTGAAAGCAGCATCGTTTAGCCAATGAGCGACATGCATAGCATTGGAATTCTGCCAACCAGCCGTTGGCAGATTCCAAACTTAGAATATTACATTTAGAGGAAGTCAGAAACTAAAACAAAAATAGCAGTTCTCATTTTAGCCCAAAAACATTATTTGGGTCGTTTATTTAGATTAATCTATATTCGGAGGTCCGAGTATAATTAACTTAGTTTAAACTAAGCTACGCTTCCTCACACACGTGCGCACACGTGTAAGCTAAAGTAGTGAGCCAAAGTAGGCCCATTACAGAACCTCTCTGCTGCTAAGTGTCATGCGCGGCAACATGCGAAGCGTGTCGCTGCCCGGGGGTAGGCACCAAAGCCTGCACTCGAAGTGTCTTCGGGCGCTGTTGTTAACAACAGCTGTCGCATGATGTAGCACTTGGTGGGCTTCGTACGACCTCACCATGTCCGGAACGTCCTGCTCCAAGAAGTCCCGCGGCTCCCATGTATCTTCGTTGGGAGGGAACCCCCCCAACGGATACAAAAACGAACTGGTTGCTTGTTCGTTCTCGGGATTCTGTGATCAACAATCCGCTCAACTGCCCATCGAGTTGAGCTGTGTGGGTGTCACAAATTGGCGGCGGCGGTGGTGGAAACGCGCACCGTGTTATCAACTAAGTATTGACCCTGATTCCGCGGCTCCCCACGACCGGAACACGGTCGTGGGGAGCCGCGAGAGCGCTGGGTTCGGCGCTCTGAAGCATCCTCAGGTTGCGGTGACCTCCTAGACCGCCTCGGTCGTTCCGGCCGAGCTGGACCTCCAGCTCGACCCGCGGCTCCAGCGCGACTTCGCGCTGGGGAGGATGATGCCTTCCGTTGAGTCTTCCGCTTCCGTTCGGCCGAGCTAGGTAGCTCGTGCTGCAGGTATGGCTTAAGCCGTCCGACGTAGAACGTCGGATGGAGGCACATGCTAGATGGAACATCTAGCGTGTAAGCTTTGCCATACTGTGCTAACACTGTGAACGGCCCGATGAAGCGCGGAGCGACCTTGCTCGCCCCAAAGTCGGAAACTGCATGTTTAGGCAGGTTGTGTGAGCTAACAACACCAATGAACCCTTCTTGAATTCATTTATGTTTTCCCTGTCAACATTGTCTGCTTCAGCTTCTGTCGATCGACAGAAGCTGCAATAGCGTTTTGGTCAAACCGAATGACGGCTTGTCTGCGCTGCACGATGTTGATTGCGTCCGAGCTAAATGTGGTATAGCAGTACACACAAAATCGTCAGTTGTGTAACTTGGCTACAAACACAACAATAGCCGAGCTGGTCGGCTTTGTTGGCCTGCGCCGGGTTGCCCCCGAGCGGTTCGGCCCGACCGGGATAGCGGGTGTCTCGCCTTTCGCCGAGACCTGCCAACCAAGATCACTCCTCCGGAGAACCGCCGAGTTCGGCGGCCTCCGTTCGCTCAACCCTGTGCCCTCCACCAAAGGATGGACGACGGCGCACGGAGCGCTTTTACAGGTCGCCGAGAGCAAAGGCTTCTCGACTCAGCAATTAGTGCCCGGGACGTTCGGGAACACCGGCTCGCAGTGGTGGCGAGACTTTTCCTTCGCGCTTGGCGAGACACGCGCCCAAACCGGGCCGACCTTAATCTCTTGGCGCTGCCAGCCGAGTACCCTACACGCTGTGCCTCTCGGGTACCGGCAGAAGACATAATCCGGCCCCGTGCAGGGACTTACCGGAACGTGTACACGTGCTTTAGGCCTAGAAAATTCTGCTCTGTTGTTTGTTATCTCTGTCGGACGCCCTGAAGGGGCGCCTCCACTATTTCTAAGCTCCTATACAAATACCAAATGAAAGTGGGCGGTTTTGGATCTCGGCCGACTCTTCGCTGAGCTCGGCGACGCTTGAGCTCAGCTGGTCCGGATAAGCTATCCGGATAATTCTTCGAACTCGGCTAAGCCGGATAAGGTATCCGAATAAGCTGGTGAACTCGGCTGAGCTCGGCTAGCGGTACAGTGTACCACTCCAGCCGAGTTGGTCGTGCGAAATCTGGTGTTTCCTACACCACAACTACCCCGGTCATGTTCCGAGCCGAGTTGGTGAGGGACCTGGCCATCACTCCTCGAGTCGAGTCCAATCTCGGCCAAAACTCCAACGGCAGCGAACAAGTCTCCGCGCCATGTCGTCGTCCGGCGCTCCTGCCGCTCCTCCGGTACGTTCTTCGCCTCCGACGGCCCCATCCATTCTGCTGCTGACCCTTCTTCTACTGATCTTCACAGGCTATGGTTGCGTCGTATTTGCAGTCTTCACATCCTCCCGTGCGAGATGAAGAGGAGTCCGCTGAGTTGGTCGACTCCGGAAGAGATCCCTGCGGAGCTTCCGCAGGACAAGCATCCAGCACGAGATTGATCTCGTGCCAGGGACAAAGTACTATGTCACGCGGCAGTGGCCACTGCCGCGAGAGCAGGTCAAGGCGATCGACGACTTCTTCGAAAGTCGTCGCAAAGCTGGACAAGTGCGGGAATCGAAATCCCCGCACAGTGCTCCGACGTTCTGTGTCAAGAAGCCACAGGGCGGCTGGCGCATCGTTCATGCGTACAACAAGCTGAACGATGCAACGATACCGGCGCAGACACCGATACCGCGAAAAGATGTAATCATCGATTCGATGGCCAGGAGCACTATCTACAGTGCTCTTGATCTACGCGATGGGTTCTATCAGATCCTCATGCGTGAGAGTGATATCCCTCTCACGGCCGTGAGCACGCCGAGCGGCATGGCATCCGGAAGGGGCCCGTGAACTTGATCGCGTTGGGCTTGATGAAACGCAGCATCGGATCGTGCTCCAACAGCCGGATCAGCTCCACTCCAGCAAGCATATACCTCATCTCCGCCGCGGTGAACTGACTCCCCGTGTCGTCGCCGCTCGCCTTGACCGGCGGTTCATCCGCTGAATCCGGCGCGCAGAGCTTCTCCGGAACCTTGCGCTTGCGCGACTCGAAGCTGCTGTTGAAGTCCACGCTCGATTGGTATCGAGGTGGAGGCGAGGGCGTGGTCGTCGAAGTCTGGGCTGAGCACGTCGAGGAACTCGGCGTGTCTTGGCCCGCCGAGGAACTCGTCGCGTCTTGTTTGACGGATCCGGCGACAATCGTCAAGGGCTCCTGCACGACGAGAATCACGCGCAACCAAGACTTGAGGTCCCAGTCGCACAGCCTCTCCATCTCGAAAGCTCCCAACACGAACCCCGAGTCACGCAGCATCTGGAAGAGAGTCGGCGCGGCGTGGGCGACGCTGGTGAGACTATCGAAGTCCGGCGCCACGAAGGGGCCTGGGAAGTTGCTCATCATCATGGGCTTGAGGAAGACCAAGATTGGGTCTTGCTCTAGCAGACGGAAGAGCTCCGTGCGCGCCACGACGTACCGTACCTCCTCGACGGTGTACTGACGTCCCGTGTCCTTGCCTTGTAGCTTGGACAGCGACGCCTCCGCCGAGTCCGGCGCGCGCAGCTTCTTCTTCCTCCTCTTGGGCGACTTGCGCTTCGTAGCTGCCTTGGCGGTGGGTTGTTGTTGGTCGTCGGCCTTTGCAGGCTTCCGACCGGTAGGACTCGCGGCCCTTCGCGGCTCCCTCGTCGGGAGCCGCATCGGGAACGGCAAACTGTTCTTCGTAGCCCTCCTAGCCGTCGCTGGCCCCGTGGCCTGTCGTAAGGTTCCCTCAGAGCTCCACGACGCGACAGATCTCTCACTATGCTCTCTTGCGGTCGGCGACCTTCCAGTCGACTGCGCACCTGCCTCCAATGCCTCTTGGATCGTTAGCCCGTCATTTGAAGTAGTCCTCCCGGGTCGCGGCACCATTGTGGAGTAGCGGCCTCGCAGAAATCTCGCGGAGTCGATCTCGCACAAACTCGGCGCGTCTCGATAGCGGTCGCGCCGAGCAAATTATTCCCGGTTGTTGGAGTAGCGTATCTTCGAAATACAGGCCCAAGTCTTCTCAAATTCTCTACTACCAAAAGGTATTAGAGACACCAACAACACGCTAACCCGCAAAGATAAGCGCTTATTGGATCAAAACCTGAAGACCAGGAACGATCCCTTACACCGGGTCGGTTGCAAGCGCCTCTGTGCACCTTAGGTTGTCTTCGGTCAACCCAAAAACCTGTACCGCTAGCCACGAGCTAAGACTAGGATACTATGTAGCGCTTTCGCGCAACCCCACTGCAGTCCCTCAGAAAGGAAGGGTACCGGCGTGTTAGGCCTTATACAGGGGGGGCCAAGGTAAAACCTCGATAGGTAGACTAATACACTCAGGGACACTCTAATCCCACAAATATATACTGAAGGATACCCTAATACCGTTCCTGCCTCTCCGGCCACACCAACTCTTGGCGCTGCCAAGGAAACTCTCGGTCAATGCACGATAAGCTCCCCGACAAGCATCCACACGCAGCCGAGCGTGTCCAGGCACTACAATAAGCTAGCTACACTTACCGAAGTCGGACTTGACCCTTGTTGGGTTTGGGGGAAGACTGTCGTTTTATTACAGAGTTTTCTGGGGCCCTGTGGCCTCGTTCTGGCCATCCTATGATGAGTCCTATGTCCCTATACAAATATCTAGTGTGAACGATCGCAATAAGGCGATTCCGGACACATCACATGACGACCGCGGCTACACTAATAAGTGCGGCCGAAGTACGTAACTAAATGCATCTGTACCTAAAAGTGGGTACCATGAAGCCTCGTTCGGGGTTGTATTAGGACCCGACGAGGCTCCGGCCGCTACCTGTCACTCCAACGAGGATAATGCCACCAGCTTAACCAAAGCAGCCACTTCCATCTCGCGCTTGACTGCTCCTTGATTATTGTACATTTATTCTTGGGCGACGGGCAATCGCTCCGGTAATCTCCATTTTCCGATACCACAACTGCCCCCGCCTGGACAGGAGCCTCAGCAACAGGTGAGCGTCTAGGCGCCTGCCGTTCGTCAACTTCATGGTTCATTCATTGCGCTTGACCGCTGCGACCGCCGCTCTCCTGGACCTTCGGTGTTCTGGTCCGGTACGCTGGGCGTTCTTGCTGCTCTTCGCCATCAGTTGGATCCTCGTTAATGACGCCAGCTTGTTCTCCAGCATCCCATGGTGCTGTCGATGTAGTCACCGACACTTTGCAACGTTGGCTAGGGTCGCAAGATCTTTCATTACCCACCGTGGTTTTGTTAGCGCTGATAATACGGTCCCGGTGCAAGCTGCACCTGTGACCGAGCCTCCAGTGACTTCCGTCGCTGCTGAAGTGTCGGTCGACACACCACAAGGTTCCTCCAGTGATATTTCAACTTCTGCTAGGGCCACTGAGGATTTGAGGATGCTTGGAGCCGCTACATTACGCACGGTGATACACATGCCCGATGCATTCCGGTGGTCGTATGGTCCGACGTTGGTTGTTCGGTCGATGCCCCGCGCACGGCCCCTGGGTTACACCTTGGCTCCGTTTCCTCGATGACATTGGTGTCTGCTTTAGAAAGTGCTGCATCACCTGAGGGTCAAACTGAGTAGCATGCCCTGCCACTCTTCTGGCCGCAATACCAATCTACCGGAGTTCCGGTGGTCGTATGGTCCGACGTTCCATCGACATGCTGCTGACCGCCGCTCGTCACACATTGTCCGCATACTTCTCAGCGTCGCTGACATCTTCTGTAGCTAGTTCTGCGTCGTTCGAGGGTTCAACGTCAACCGCAGTAGTCAGGGAACGTGCGATGACTCGTCCAGCCTCGCACCATTCCTACGTCGGAACTTCGGTGGTCGTAAAGGAGACAGATATTGTTGCCCCAGCTTGAAGCTCGCGAATCGCTGCACCGCCAACGTCGGTCACATCATCACTTGCTTCGTTATCACTCAGAGATAGTGTAGCTGTGTCGACCGTGGTTTCGTTGCCTTCGTTCCACAGTTCCATCCGGATTTTCCGGTGGTCGTAACCAATTCGGGTTTAGTTGCCTCAGTCTGTGGCTCGGGAACCACCGCACCAGAAACATCGGTCGAGCCTTCAGCTTCTTCCTCTTTGGCGTGAGAAACTGTACCAGTGTTGACCGTGGTTCGTGATCCACTTACAGCAAATACTCGGTGGTCGTAACGTAAGGTCTGGGTACCCCAGCCTCGATCAAGCGACCCGCTGTGTTGCAATCACAGCTTTTCGAGCCGCACCAATTCTCGTTCAGGGTTCCCACAGTTTCCGCGCAGGCTACATCAGGCACCACCGCCTTGAACGAAACGTAGTTGTCGGGCGTAGCGGTCCCAGATCCACTCGTATCTCCACTTCATCATCAAATCCATACATCGTCGCAAGTCGAGGTCCGGCGCACAGGCGCGACCTTCTTCCACGTTAATATCGGCACTCGAATCCTCGGTCATCCTTCCTTGAGCTTCATCCTTGTTCGTTTCATCTGCTGGGGTGTTGACCGAGGCATTCCGACATGCCACTCCATCGTGACTCATTCACATCACATGTAATATGCAAATTCCAGCAATTTCCTTCGTCTGTCGCTGCGAGCTGGATAGCCCTCGCAGGCAGTTCAATCATCGTTTCCAGTAGCTTCATTCGTCTACCATCGCGAGCTGGGTAACCCTCGCGGGTAGTTCAAACGTCGTTAGCGTATGCAACTTGTCAACGACTTGGGCCACGTGCAAACATCGTGCTGCGTTCGCCACTCGTGCAGGTCATCACCCAAACGAACAATCGAACGGTGTTCGTCTGCGCTTAGGTACGTCATCTCAGGTCCGTTCCACTTCCAAACCTTTGCCAGCCCACCACTGAGAATCAGCACTCGTGTCTTGGTTTACCTCGTTCCATGTAGGGCCAAATCCGAGTGGTAGGCTTCAGTCGAGAGGTCGGTAGAGACTCCTGCGCGTTGTCGCTGCGATTAATCTCGTTCGCGGTGTCATCATCCTCCGGGAACCCTTCCGCAACCATCGCATGTACGACCGAGGTGTAATTCGCCTCCAATAGTCTTTCAGGGTCCTCTTTGTCCGGGTCATCGACACAATTTTCTCCATCGGTACTAACCTCGGTCGTGGCGGTTCCTGCTTCAGTTAAAATGTCGTTCGGTCCAGGATCATGTTCGCCCCAGTCGATAGTGGCGTTGCCCCACGCGACCGACGTTTGATCTGGTTCAGGGCGTGCTTGCGTATCCGTCGCTGTTCCGGCCATCCGCGGGACGGATTCCACCGCTGCTGTTACATCTGTCGCGTCATGGTCTTCTCCCGAATCGTCGTTCAGCTCTCCAACACCATCATCACGCTTGTCTCCGGCTCCTGACACCTCGACCGGGGCTTCCTGTGCCCCATGTTTGATGCTATAGGCGTTATGATCGGTGCGCTTGGATGCATAGGCCGCTCGGTCAAGCGACGACCCTTCCAGTGCGTCGGAGTCGGTCCGTGCACTCGCCTCGTCGTCCGAACCGTTGTTGGTTATACCATCACGTTCTGTGTCGTCTGCACCAGGCTCAGTAACCTTGACCGAGCCTTGGGAGACCCTGGGGTCGTTGGCATGATCCGATATACCGAGCGAAGAATAATCGTCGTTAGGACGACCTTGAAGATGACCTCTCGGCCATATTGTAGCGTCGAGCGGTCTCCGTAAGATCTTCTGCGGCGTCGAGTAAGTCCTGCGCCCAACCGCGGGTGGCTGTTTGGCCAGCCATTGGTCATAGAGACATCGCTCCCTTCCATACAGAGTCTCGTCACGGCTCGTTGAGTATGCCAGCACCTGCCACTCCTTGTACTTGTTAGAGTCTAACCTCGCGTAGCCGGTCTCTCGCGGTAGTTCACCATGCGGTACCCAGAGCACCACGGAGTCGTGCTTGGCACACTGTGCCGTTGTCGTCGTAATATTGGTGAGCCGTACCCTTGTCGGCTGCCCCCGTCGAAGCCTCGTTACGGTCGGCACAAGCTTTCCCGTGCGCCGTACCCACACATCGTACTCCGAACGAGGTAGCCGCTGGCGCGGCAGTCGAAACTCTCGCCACTCGCGACCGGGGGCGTATAAATCCTCGGTCGGCCCACACGAAGGCTGCGTGCCGTAAGGTTCGTCATCCCCAACACTCTGCGACTTTAGCAGTGGTACCATGACCTCGTCCGGAAGGCGTGCGGTGCCATGAAATAGATCCAGCCGGGATCATGAAGTCCATCCCAACGACCACATCCACCCCGGCACTGTGATCCATTATCCACCTTTCAAATTCGTAGACCTGCTCCCGCCCGAGGGTGATCTTGACGAGCGCCCGTCGCCGGGTCTCCATCACCCCCGTGTTGATGCCGCGGACTTCGAGACTTCGTCCGTTGTCCCGGACTTCCCGTACACTTAGCCGCTTGGCGAAGCTGGCAGAAATCACGCTAACATTCGCTCCAGTATCAAGGAGTAGCCTTGTTCGCGCGTCGTCCACGGCGCCATTGACCAAAGCTCTCATTCGCTTCCTCTTGTCGTATCGCTGGGACGACCACCACCCCAGTCTCTCACCGGGCAGTAATTGCACCGCCCGAACGAGGCTCCGAGGTGGCCCCCTGATCTGGGCTAGACTTGTGATCAAAGCCTCGGTCGGGTGTCCATCACGTTCGTCATCATCATCTTCATCAATACCAATCTCAACGAGACTTGCGTCTCGGTTCTCTCCATTTCCCGTCAGTTTCACACGTTCATTGTTCTTCCGGTCGTCAGGCCGTTTGCTTTCGCCCGTGAACGCGAACAGATAGTCCGCATCAACAGCAGGCTCAGCTAACTGTGGCAGCCCGATTGGGACCAACCCAGTTTCAGTTGGCGGGCTGCCTAGTTTAAATGACTTCCATACACCAGGCTTTGCAGCTCTGGCGACAGATCCTTCTTGTCGACCTTGGACTTCAGGAGCTTGGTGAGCTCGTGGAGCGCTTCGCACTTTCCAGCGTCGTGCACCTGTTTGCACAGTTTGCGCCGCCGGTAGCAGAAGTGCACGGAGTGGGCCGGGCTTCCGCACACGGCATACAGCCCAAACTGGCGACGGTTATCTCGTTTGCGGTTGGACGGGCCTCCTCCGTTCCTGTAGCGTCGGTTGTCAGACCAGGCGAACGTTCCATCGGCTGCGGCCCTGCGCTCAGAGTCGTTAGTGGCAGCGACATGCCGAGTAGACTCGTCCGAGTCGTAATCGGCGTCTGAATCCTCGTCCGAGCGTTGGTCGTCCGAGTACTGGCGCTCATCCTCGAAGTAATCCGCGTTCGCCTCAGCATCACGTCGGGGGGCGTATGGAGCCTCGTTGCGTGCACCGACCGAGCCTCCGATGTTCCATTCTGCCATCCCATCGGGAAGGGCGTCGACCAAAGTAACCCTCGACCGGTTCGGTGACCCGTCACATCGGTCACGGCGGTGGTCGTCATCACGACGATTGGTGAGGCGGTCGTTGCCACGGTAACGTCGTACACAGCAATAACCACTTCGAGAATCCTCGTTCGACCGCGCGTCGCGACGGCGACTGTCATCTTGACTGCGGGAGCGGCGGAACGATGATTCGCGGGTCGACTTTCGGTCACGGTGACGCAGAATGTCGTTGATCATGTCTTCGAGGTCATGAATGCTCTTGACCCGAACGTGGCACAGACGGTCTTCTAAGTTTCGGTCGTCACGCGTAACTAAGAAGTGTTCGACGTGGTCCTTCGCGTCACGATCCCCGTGCTCAAACCGCACCCCGGCGTTGCGAGCGTAGCCGTTGAGCCGGTTGAGGTAGTCACATACATGCTATTTGTTCTCTCGTTTGGCCGAGTAGTACCGAGCCTTTGCAGACTGGGAGAACTTCGAGCAGTAGTACTTAATCAATGCCTCGCACAGCAGTTTCCACGTGCGTCTCGTCTTGCGTGGAAGCTGGCGGCACCAATACAATGCCCCATCTCTGAGCTTGAGTTCGAACGGCATGCACCACTCGTTGGGCGGTGCATGTGTCCCCCTCATCTCGTAGACGAACTTACGAAGCCACTGCATGGAGTGTTCGCTCTTGTTGCGCACACCGTAGAACGACTTGATGTTGCCGATAGGTAGATGCGTGGTAATCTCGAGCTTCGGGGTTGAGCTCTGATTGTCAGTCGCGCTCAGTTCGCGTACCTGACGGGCCCATTCGCTTGGCAGGTCGCCCTCGTAACAGTCGGACCCGAGATCATCGTCACTGTCCGACGAGTCATCTCGGAGGTCGTAACGGCGGCTGGACCGGCGACCGGTTGCCCCGCGCGTGCCAGGCGTTGCGTACGAAACCTCGGTCTCCCTAGCCAGACGTTCACTACGGTCCGTAGATAGTGGGGTTACCATGTGCGAGTCTTGCATGTAAGGCGGAGCCTCGCCCTTGACTGCGAAGACTCCGTCATCCGTGGCTGCCTTCCGAGGGGTCGCTGGTAGCGGGACCTTGGAGGGGTCAACCGCTCCCGGGGCCGAACGAAGCTTCGTTGAGCCTCGGTCTGCCACCCCAAAGGCCTCACGTAACTTCTTCCTCCACTTGGTAAGAGCCTTGGCGGCGGTGGTTGGCGTCCAGCTCGCGAGTGCAGCCTCCGTCGGGAGAATCTGAGGGGAGGACGAGTGCCAACCGGCTTGGAGGTTGCCCCTCCTACCGTCACCGAGGCTTTGAAACCCTCGGTCGCACCGTCATCCGCGTCGCAGGCGGGCTCGGGGCCCGGCATGTCGTTGAACATTTCGGAGAGGTCGCGGGCGATCGACCTCGATCCTTCACTGCGGCCGGCCGACACAACCGCGGCCTCCGAAGTCTCGGACATCACAGTCCTGACATCCCAGTCATCATCTTCGTCATCTTCTTTGGCGTCCGAGGAATCAATCGCCGTGTCGCATCTCGCTGAACGCTCGTCGATCGACTCCATCCGATCCGTCGCTGGGGTAGAGAACGAGCTCCCGGAGCGCACCGAAGCCTCGTTGCGCGTTCCACTCGACTTGACCGGCGTTGCTGGTACCGCTGACTTGACTCCCTTCGCCATCTTTTCACTTCTTCTTCGCTTCTCTTCTTCTTCTCTTCTCCTCTTCTTCTCTTCTTCTTCTCCTCTTTGCTCGTTGGGGTAAGACCTACAATAACCCAGACACACAGAAGGTCGCACCAATCCCGGGTCGCGGCACCGGTTGTGGTGTGGTAATACCACTAAAATTCTCTTCTACCAAAAGGTATTAGAGACACCAACAACACGCTAACCCGCAAAGATAAGCGCTTATTGGATCAAAACCTGAAGACCAGGAACGATCCCTTACACCGGGTCGGTTGCAAGCGCCTCTGTGCACCTTAGGTTGTCTTCGGTCAACCCAAAAACCTGTACCGCTAGCCACGAGCTAAGACTAGGATACTATGTAGCGCTTTCGCGCAACCCCACTGCAGTCCCTCAGAAAGGAAGGGTACCGGCGTGTTAGGCCTTATACAGGGGGGGCCAAGGTAAAACCTCGATAGGTAGACTAATACACTCAGGGACACTCTAATCCCACAAATATATACTGAAGGATACCCTAATACCGTTCCTGCCTCTCCGGCCACACCAACTCTTGGCGCTGCCAAGGAAACTCTCGGTCAATGCACGATAAGCTCCCCGACAAGCATCCACACGCAGCCGAGCGTGTCCAGGCACTACAATAAGCTAGCTACACTTACCGAAGTCGGACTTGACCCTTGTTGGGTTTGGGGGAAGACTGTCGTTTTATTACAGAGTTTTCTGGGGCCCTGTGGCCTCGTTCTGGCCATCCTATGATGAGTCCTATGTCCCTATACAAATATCTAGTGTGAACGATCGCAATAAGGCGATTCCGGACACATCACATGACGACCGCGGCTACACTAATAAGTGCGGCCGAAGTACGTAACTAAATGCATCTGTACCTAAAAGTGGGTACCATGAAGCCTCGTTCGGGGTTGTATTAGGACCCGACGAGGCTCCGGCCGCTACCTGTCACTCCAACGAGGATAATGCCACCAGCTTAACCAAAGCAGCCACTTCCATCTCGCGCTTGACTGCTCCTTGATTATTGTACATTTATTCTTGGGCGACGGGCAATCGCTCCGGTAATCTCCATTTTCCGATACCACAGTAGGGGGGGGGGGGTTGTTGATGCTTGTTCCTTGTCGTAGGGCGTCGAGCCTTGGGCGTGCGGCGTTATCGGGCCGGCGTTCCCGTCGGGCGTGCGGCGTTATCAGGCCGGCGTTTCCTGGGGCTTGTGTGGCGTTATCGAGCCTACACGGGGGTCTTGTGCACGGCGGTTATCAGGCCAGTGCGGTCCTTCGCCTAGGCAGCGCGTTATCGGGCGCCCACCTAAACGGTATACGTTTAACGTGCCTTTGTTCCAGCACGGGTCTGTGGGGGGTGAGCACCCGAACCAGCAAACGACGGGGGGCCGCGATATCGAGGCGGCTCTTCTTGCCGGTGCTTGGTGGTTCCCCTGGAACCTCGGAGAAGACGGGAGGTCTTTGTGGTTCAGAGAAATTTCGGGACTGAGTCCTTACCCTATCCTATGTCCTTGCTACTGGCTACTCTGTACTACTGCTTGCTAAGCCTACCGCTCTGGGCCTATCCCTACTTCTGTCGTGCTTGCGCTGCCGTCCTTCAACTTGGTTTGCGTGGCGTAATCAAGATCTTACCTCGGCGCGTTTTGCTCGGCGGGGTTTAGGGTCGGCGCGTCTTTCTCCGCGGGTTTTGCTCGGCGCGTCTTGCTCGGAGGGTTTTGCTCGGCGGGGATAAGGGTCGGCGCGTTTTGCAGAGACGGGGCGCTGGTCGACTCGTCGGATGATTACGCGTCGAGTTGGACTCTGGCGCCGTGTATCACGGCCCATCACCCGCGTCGACTTTTCCCGTCGATCTCTGCCGCGCGTCGCCCCCCACCAATCGCGTCGCGTTCCACCAACTGCATCGAGCTCCATCCTCCGAGCCGAGTTCCATCCTTCGCGTCAGTCGGCTTCCATCTTGGCGCCTCCTCTCACCGGCGTCGATGTGCCCGCTTCCTCGCGGGGCACTACACCACAGCAGCAAGGCCCCGACGCGGTGAACGCGCGTCTCGAGGCGCTTTCAAGCTACGAGAATGCTCTGCTAGAGCACCTCCAGCAGAGGATGGTGATGGCCGCGGTGCCCCAAGCGCCTGCTTCGTCATCCGACGCGGGAACAAGACCCAAGCCGCTCATGTTGAGCGTGAAGACCTTCGAAGGCAAGGAGGGTGAAAGCTTGATGCTTTGGACCCATGAGGTTGAGATGGCTATGAGCTCAGCTCTACTCCGGACGGAGTCGCAGCGCGTGGCACTAGCTATCTCGAAGCTCGGTGGGCGAGCGAGAGAGTGGGCACTAACGTCCGGGACGTCGGTCGAGGTGGCCTTCCCGACGTGGGACCAGCTGACACAGCAATTGTCCCGAGTGTTTGCTCCGCCTAACGAGGCGTATCGCGTGCGCTCACGCTTCCTGGCGACCAGGCAGAGCAAGAAGGAGTTGATGGACTATGTCCAAGAGTTGAGAACTCTCATTGCTGGTATGTCCGCGGACCCCCTGCCGGAGGCAGTCACCGTTACGGTGTTCATGGAGGGCCTCCGCACTGGCGTTGCCAGGACGGAGGTGTTCCGAACCCACCCGAGCTCTTTCGAAGAGGCTGTGAGCGTCGCATTGAATGCGGAGCACAACTTTAAGTCGTCGAGACTTGGGTGGAATGCGTCTTACGCTAGCGCGTCGAGTGGTCCGGAACCCATGGACCTCAGCTATGCTGAAGACGAAAAAGCCGAGCTTCGTGCTGGTGAGCAGCGTCGCGGTATCCGCAGATGCTTCATCTGTGGTGACACCCGTCACCTTCGTGCTGGGTGTCCGCTGCGCTATCAGCGCCAGGCTTCGTCAAGGCACTCTTCGAGTTCGAGCCAGGGCTCTAGTTTGTCTCGGGGAAACGAGAAGTCCCAGTAGGCGCGGGGCGGCCTACTGGGGAAGAACTAAGTTCTATTGAGCCTCGGCGAGGTGGAGGTCGACAGGACTTAGCCCCAAAGAGAGCCGTACTCTCTAACACGGAACGTGTATGCAAGCTGGGCTTGCTAGTTGTCCAAGCTTGGGTGAAGGGCTTCACGAAGCCATGGACGATTTTGATCGATTCGGGAGCGTCGGGTAACTACGCCCGACGTTCTACGATGGACGGAAGTCAGCTTTATGCTGGGGCGCTGGTAGCGCGCGGGAGTGACGACGGGCACTCGTGTCACGGTGACTAAGGTCCCTGTGGACCTGGGCGTGAAGGTTTTGGATTTCGACAGCGTGGAACGCGGTCTGGTCGTAGACCTCGATTCGAGATATAATCTCATCCTTGGTATGGCGTGGCTGGAACGCCACGAGCCTTGGATCGATTGGAGGTCGAAGACCCTTGGTGCTACGCACTTCTCTCCTGGCGGAGCATTGGCGAGTCATGAACCCACCTCTGCTAGGAAGCAGAAGCGCTTCTGGCGCGAGCACTGGACCGAGTCGGTCAATGTGCTGGATATCGGAGTTTCCGAGTTGGTGGACACTGAGTGTGTCGAGAACGAGCGTTCCGAGCGTGGCTCGCGGACGGCAGGTGGAGCGGCACGAATTCGGCTGAGCGGGTGTGCATCTGAGGGCGACGCCCTGCTGCGTGCCAGCGACGGCGCGGTCGGCGGGATGCCGAAGAACAAGGGGCTTTGCCCGAATGAAGATCGTGGAGTGGCACGTAATCCACTGAGTGGAGGTTGCGGATCGTGCAGCTCTTCGCTGAGTATCGGTAAAGACACTGGAGCTCCCCTGGAGCTGAACGAGGTGGTGACACCTGGCGTCAAGACGCACGCGAAATCACGGAGCTCTTCAGGGCGGACGGCGTCCATGAAGAGGAGGCAGCGCCGCAAAGCGCTGGCCGCGAGACGCAAGGCGTCTGCGATCTCACGAGTCGAGAAGGGCGTGTCGAGCGGTGAGGCTCCATGCGAGAGCGAACAGCTCTATACACTCGTGAATGGAGTGACGGGGGACGTCGACGGAGGTATCAACCTCGACGACTTGCCCTCACTGTCTGCTCTCCTGGAGCTGGACGAGATGTCCTCGGCCGAGTTCGGCGAAGCCTTGAAGGCTGGAGACTTGGCTAAGGTAGTGGTCATACGACTCGAAGAAGAATTGAACTCGTCCTCGCTTCTGGATGAAGCTGTCCTGGAAAACACCAAGAAGGCGCTGAATGCGCGGAGCGGATCGGCGATCCTGAAGAACCCGTCGGATTCCCTGTATCAAGTGGTAAAGGATTACCAGGACGTGGTCTCGAAGGAGCCGCCCTCGGGGCTACCTCCGGATCGAGCTGTTCGACACGAAATCGATCTCGTTCCCGGAACGAAGTACTGCGTGACGAGGCAGTGGCCCTTGCCGAAGGAGCAGTGTGACGTCATTGACGCGTTCTTCCTTGCAAAGCACGAGGCGGGCATGGTGCGTGAGAGTACGTCTCCACACTCTACGCCGACGTTATGTGTCAGAAAGCCGAATGGCAAGTGGCGTATCGTGCATGTTTTCAACAAGCTGATGCCGCTACCATTCCGGCGCAGACGCTGATTCCTCGGAAGGGTGTTCTTCAGAACAACATGACAGGATGTACGATGTACAGTGCGCTCGACTTGGTCGATGGATATTACCAATTGCTCATGAGGACGAGCGACATTCCTCTCACTGCGGTGAGTACTCGGAGCGGCATGCTCTGGGAGTGGTTGGTGATGCCCCAAGGGCTTTCGAACGCGCCAGCGACGTTTAATCGTCTTGTGACGCAGCTCTTCAGGCCCCATCGGGCATACGCGCAAACGTACTTCGATGACATCTTTGTCCACAGTCGTGCGGAGCACGGAAAGACTGATATGGAGAACCATGTGGAGCACCTGCGTGCTGTGCTCGAATGCATGCGTCAAAACAAGTTGTACGCCAACATTGACAAATGCATCTTCGGAGCGGAAGAGATCCCCTTCTTAGGGTGCTTCATCGGGAAGCGTGGCCTGAGGGCCGACCCGGTCAAGGTCAAGGCCATTGTTGACTGGCCGGTTCCCAAGAACCAGAAGGATCTTCGCAAGTGGCTTGGCATGGCCAATTACTTGCACAAGTACAGCGAGAACTACGCTGAGATGGCTCGGCCACTCTCCAATCTCCTGAAGAAGGATGCGGAGTGGTGTTGGGACACCGAGCATCAAGATGTGTTTGCGGCAATTAAGGACAGTCTCCTTCATGCGCCTATTCTGGATCTGCCAGACCCCGCTCGTCCGTTTAGTGTCGTCTGTGACGCCTCGGATTTTGTCATCGGCTGTGGACTGCTGCAAGCAGACGCCGAGGGGCGCGAGCGCGTGGTGGCGTTCGAATCTCGCCAGCTGAAGGCTGCGGAGAAGAACTATCCTGTCCATGACAAAGAGCTACTTGCGATGAAGTATGCGCTCGTCAAGTTCAGGGTGCACCTGTTGGGCTCTCAGCCGTTCGTGATTTACACGGATCATGCGTCGTTACGCACTGCGACTCAGTCGCCTCACCTCTCGCAAAGGATGGCCCGTTGGCTGTCCTTCTTCGCGGAGTACAACTTCGAGGTGAAGCACAAACCTGGCAGGCAGAATGTCCTTGCGGACGCGCTGTCGCGCAGGCCGGATTATGAGCTGGCTCATCTAACGACCGTGACTTCGTCATTACCGGATTTGATCCGAACGGCTTATGCCAAGGACGACACTTGTGTCGCGTTGCTAAAGGCTCTGGGGAGCAAGGAGTTTCAAGACTCGGACATGGAATTGTCAGCGCGGCTACACCGTTATTCCCTCGATGGAGGCCTGCTGTTCTACAACACTGGCCCCGAGGATACGCCCCGCGTGGTCATCCCTCATGATGAGGATCTGAAGTACCGCATCCTCGATGCGGCACATGACACGCCGCTAGCCGGCCATCTTGGCCGTGAGAAGACCTACAGCTCGGTGAGCACCCACTACTGGTGGCCGAAGCTGTACAAGTGGACGAGCACTTATGTGCGCACGTGCGAGACGTGTCAGAGAGTGAAGTCGTCACCTCATGCTGCAGCGCCGTTGGCGAGTTTGCCTGTCCCTTCGGGCTGCTGGCAATCCATGAGTATGGACTTCGTGTTTGGCCTGCCGGCGGACGCGGCGGGCAACACAGGAGTCGTGGTCTTCGCGGGCCGACTGAGCAAGATGGCTCACATTGCGGCTGTGCCGGACACCATCGATGGTAAAGGTACAGCAACGCTGTTCTTGGACCGAGTGTTTCGACAACACGGACTCCCTGAGTCGATTGTCTCGGACCGAGACCCTCGCTTCACGGGTAACTTCTGGAGCGCGGTCTTTGCGCTGCTTGGCACCAAGCTGGACATGTCCACGGCGGACCATCCGCAGACCGATGGTCAGACCGAGCGCGTAAATCGCGTCGTCGAGGACGTCCTCCGCAGCATTTGCGCCGAGACGCCGAAGCGCTGGAGCGCCATGCTGCCACTCGTTGAGTTTGCGTTGAACAACGCCGTGCACGCCTTGACAGGCTACACGCCGTTCTACGTGAACAGCTTGTCTCATCCCCGCGTCCCGCTGACGCCGCCACGTGGTGGCCTCGGGCTTAGTGGGGGAGGAGAAGCCGATTTAGCTGATCGGCTAGCCGATGTCAGTCCGGCTACTGTTCGTAAACAGATTGGCGCTTTCTTGTCGACGCGTCTGAATGTCTTACGACATGTGCGTGACGCAATGGCTGAGAGCCAAGACAAGCAAAAGGAACATGCAGATGCCAGGGGCAGAGGCAATGTTGAAAGTTATGAGGTCGGGGACCTGGTGTTGCTTAATGCTAAGAACCTACCACACATGCAGTGTCTGCCGTCTTCAAGACGAAGTTGCGCCCGCGCTTCATCGGACCTTTCAAGGTTGTGGCCAAGAAGGGCCTTGCGTACACGCTCAATCTTCCGAAGAAGATGCGGACGCACCCCGTCTTCTACGTGGGCTTGCTCAAGCCGTACCAGGACCCGATGCAGGTGCAGATGGAGGCACCGAGGGGGACGAGGTCACAGGCGCGGAAGCTGCGGTCGTCGAGGACACGGCCATCCACGTGGGCACCGCAGGCACAGGCGGAAGAATCGGCGCCGGAGGTGCCGCGGGCACAGCGAGAGCCGCAGGCGCAGCAGTCGGAGCCTGCATGCGGGCCAGGAGGTCGAGCTGACCCTGAAGCACAGCCTGCTGACGCTGTAGCTCCCCGAGCTCCCGGCCACGCTGCTCATCGCGATCGCGATAGTATCGCACCCAGTCCTCCAGGGCCCCAAGGCGGTCCCAGACCTCTCGAGGCACCTCGATCCATTGCGTCCGCTCGGCGAGCTGGTCGAGTTCGATGGCAGTCCGGCCCAGACGCGCATCAACGTCATGGATGTGATCCCGAAGGCGACCCGCCTGCTGCCGCGTGTCCAAGAGCTCATCTTGAGTCGCAAAGGGCCCCACAGCGGCCTCCACCGGCTCTGCTCGATGAGCATGGGAATCTACATTACCATGTGGGGCGCCTCCTGGCGAAACGCCGGTGCCGGGGTCAAAACCAGTATCTGGTGAAATGGCGAGGTATCCTCACCCCGAGAACTCATGGGAGTTTGAGGTGCCCCTCCGCCAAGACTGCCCAGACGTCGTGGACGCTTTTGATCGGCTTGATCGCCAGCGCCCCGAGGGCTCAAGGCCGGCACGCCGGTCGTCCCGCGCTTCCCGGCAATAAGCTGGGGAGCTGCTGGGTCAGCCACATTGCTCCGAGGCTGACCCTGAGCCACAGCGCTCACTCCCTCGCTGGAAGGAGCAGCTGGAGTGCTCGAAGGAGCGAAGCGCGCAGCGCTAAACTGGGTCTGCGCCAGGGCGAGTGCCGAGAGGCTGCGCTTGGCTCGAACCTTTGCGGAATCGAAGCGGAGCTTGCGTTCAATGCGAACATCCACTTCACTGAAGCTGGCTCGGAGTGCGTCCATGGAGCTGAGCTTTCGGCTGTGCTCGGCCCAAGACTCGAACTGAGCTTCGTACTCAATTGAGTCTCCCCCCGGGCTAAGTACCACCGGGTACGTCCGCATGGCGGGCACGGACTTCTGCTGGGCTTGCAGCCGCAGCCTCTCGCGATACTCCGCGACAGTCGTAGACTGTGGAGTGAGGAGCTGCTCTCGCAGAGACGTACGCAGTGCGAGCTCCTCCAGAGTACGGGCCGCGGGCCCAATGGTGTGCAGCGCGAGAGACTGCTGGAACACCTGGCGACAAGCCTCCGCGGGGTCGCGAGGCCGGAAGCCGTAGTCGGCAGCGCTGGGGTTCAGCAGAGGCCGCAGTTCGGGGCGCTGGGAGCGCGTGGGAGCCATCTGCGCCGCAACCGGCTCGGATTGAGCTTCGTCCAAAGGGTTGGAAATGACGGGGCCCAGCGGCACACCCTCACCACGAGGTGGCGAATACCGTGGCTCCGTGAGCGCGCAGCTCGTAGAGGCCGGAAGAGCGTTCAGGGACGGGTTTGGAGTTCGCAGCGGTGGCCGCGGCTCCACCCTCGACGGCGCAGCGCGCTCTGCAGATGGACGGCTCGGCGAGCGCACAGGAGACGTGTGCGTGGGGCGCTCTTCATCGGGACGGCTCGGAGAGCCAACTGGGGCCGGCGAGCCTTCTTCACGGCGTGTCGACGGTGTGGGCGAAGCGTCGCTGCGGCTCGGGGAGCGTCGCGTGAGTGGGGACACATCTCCTCGGTTCGGAGAACCCTCCATGGACTTGTCCACCTCGCCCTCTTCACCAAAGAGTTCCCTAGGATTCATGATCTGACGGGTTGGTGCTCGAGGAGAGCTGGGGCTTGCGCGCTGCGAGCTGCGCTTCAGGCGTTGCGCCGCGAAGTACTCGGACACCGAGAGCCTGGAAGGCGTCAAGGGTGTGCGCGCGGGCGCTGGCGTTCGCGGAGGTGCGGAGGCACGCAGTGCAGCAGCACGAGAGGAGCGAGGCTCCGAGGCGGATCTCGCGAAAGGCTGTCTGCGGTCGAAAGACCAAAAGGCTTTATGACTTGAAGTCATGTGAGGGCGCGTTGCGCCGAGAAGTTCTCAGAGAAGTCCACGCGATGTGGATTGACTCGTTTGAGCAGGAGGCTTGACGGAACAAGACCCGGAGGTTTGCCGTTAAGCGTGAATACCCGTGTCCACGGTTTGGTGGGGGAGGGTGTAACGGGGTTACACGAGAGTTACCCGAAGGGTTATGAAGTGGATACACAATGTCTAACCTAAATCAGTAGGAGAATCAGTACATGGCTTCAGAGCCACTGATTATGCATATGACTAGGGTTCACTATGCTAGATAGTGAACCGGATACATTTACTCCGTAGGCGGCTTGGCCGCGCTAAAGGGAAATACATTCAGTTTTGAGATTCACACAGTTGAGAGTTAAGGGTTGACTGTTGGAGTCCGTAAGGTGTACGGACTCGTACGTTCTGGTATTAGAACGGGCTATCTTAAGCTGAGACTCTGTGAGTCTGTTAAGCTTCCTCTGACGCAAAGCTACGGCGGCCCCGCTGCAGCACCACTGAGATCGAGGACACTCTCAGTGCGAAGACGAAGAAGGAGCGCTTTGAAGAGCAGAGCTGGGACTCGTTGAAGACGAGTCCCTACTACGAGATCTTACGGGAGTACGCGGACGTGCTTCCGGAAGAGATCCCTGCGGAGCTTCCGCAGGACAAGGGCATCCAGCACGAGATTGATCTCGTGCCGCGAACGAAGTACTGGGTCACGCGGCGGTGGCCACTGCCGCCAGAGCAGGTCAAGGCGATCGACGACTTCTTCGAAAGTCGTCGCAAAGCTGGACAAGTGCGGGAATCGAAATCCCCGCACAGTGCTCCGACGTTCTGTGTCAAGAAGCCACAGGGCGGCTGGCGCATCGCTCATGCGTATAACAAGCTGAGCGATGCGACGATACCGGCGTAGACGCCGATACCTCGAAAAGATGTAATCATCGATTCAATGGCCAGGAGCACTATCTACAGTGCTCGTGATCTGCGCGATGCGTTCTATCAGATCCTCATGCGTGAGAGCGATATCCCTCTCACGGCTGTGAGCACGTCGAGCGGCATGCTCTGGGAGTGGCTAGTGATGCCGCAGGGTCTGAAGAACGCCCCTGCGACCTTCAACAGGTGCGTGACGCACTTGTTGCGCTCGGTGCGCGACTTCGCACCGAGCTACTTCGACGATGTGTTCGTCCACAGCCGGACTGCGGACGGGATGGGCGATGTTGAGATGCACCTTGTGCATCTCCGGAAGCTGCTTGCGCTCATGCGCAAGCACAAGCTCCATGCAAACCTGAAGAAGTGCATCTTCGGGGCGAGCGAGATACCCGTGCTCGGGTGTCTCGTCGGGAAGAACGGTGTCCGCCCTGACCCTGAGAAGGTCAGAGTGATCAATGAGTGGCCGACGCCGTCGAACGTCAAGGAACTGCGGCAGTTCCTTGGCTTGGCCACGTACTTGTCTAAGTTACGCGGACATGATACGTCCGCTGTCCCAGCTCCTGAAGAAGGACGCCGAGTGGGTTTCGACTGCTGAGTGTCAGCAGGCCTTCGATGCAGTCAAGCGGGGCTTGACTGAGGCGCCGATCTTGGCGGTGGTCGACCAAGATCGCCCATTCCACGTTGTGTGTGACGCACCCGACTTCACAATCGGATGTGCGTTGATGCAGCACGATCACGAGGGTCGTCTACTACCAATCGCGTCAGCTGAAGCCAGCTGAGCGCAACTACCCGGTACATGACAAGGAACTCCTTGCCATGAAGTACGCACTCGCGAAGTTCCGAGTGTATCTACTCGGAAGCAAACTCTTCGTGGTCTATACGGACCACGCGTCGCTGCGGACGGCTGTGAGGTCGCCGCACATCTCGCAACGGATGGCGAGATGGCTCTCATTCTTCGCAGAGTATAACTTCCGGGTTGAGTACAAACCCGGAAGATTCAATGTGGTGGCCAACGCGCTCTTGTGTCGACCGGACTACGCCACGACAGATGCCGACGTCAATGCTATTGACGCCATGCGATCGAGCACCCCGGCGCCGTCACTGTTGGACGACGTGAAGGTCGCGTTCGCGCACGACGCGGACGCGAAGCTCTTGCTGGCCTACGGCTCAACGCCTTCTGACAAAGCTCGTCAGAAGCTGCCGAAGCATCTTCGTGCTCGTGCACACCGTTACCGGGTGCACGACGGGTTATTACTCTACAGTGCAGTCGACGACAACGCGGACCGCGTTGTCTCGCCCAATGACCATGACCTGCGACTCAGGATCATGTATGAGTATCACGATGCACCGACTGCGGGGCATCCGGGCCGTGAGAAGACATACCTTCTTCTCACGCGCGACTTCTACTGGGCCCACCAGTATAAATGGGTGCGCAAGTACGTCCGTGCTTGCGAGGTTTGTCAACGTGTGAAGCCTGCGCCTTTCGCGCAGGCTCCCTTGCAGTCATTACCAACTCCACGGGAGTGTTGGCAGTCCATGTCTTTGGACTTCGTGTTCGGTCTTCCCCCGGACAGCCAGGGGAACACGGGCGTTGTGGTCTTTGTTGACCGCTTCAGCAAAATGATACATCTTGTTGCGGTACCCGCTGAAGTGACTGCGAAACAGACGGCACGTCTGTTCGTTGACAAACACCATGGCATGCCGATCGACATTGTGTCGGATCGAGACCCGCGCTTCATGCACACCTTTGACAAGAAGTGTTTACACTTCTTGGGAGTCAACTTTCGATGTCGACTGCGGACCATCCGCAGGCGGACGGGCAGACCGAGCGCGTGAACCGCGTGCTCGTAGACGGGCTTAAGAGCTACGCTCACTCGTTCCAACACTGGAGCGAGTGCCTGCCGATGGCAGAGTTCGCCATCAACAACTCGGTGCATGCCTCGACCGGGCATACACCGTTCTACGTGAATGCCATCAGGCACCCACGCCTCCCGAGTCTACTCGGGACGGTGGCTCATTCCTTGAGTGGGGGAGGATCTACGACTACAACGCAGCAGCCGCAGTATGCCGCTGACACTTGCACAGTGTCAGTCGCGACTACGCGCAAAAAGAAGAAGAAACACGCGTCTGTGCAGGCCACAGACGCCGACAAGAGCAAGGAGAAAAAGCAGAATGGGTCTGTGCAGGGCACAGACACCGCGAAGACAAACGCAGAGGCCGGGCCTACTGCTAGAAACGAGCTGAACGAGTTCAGCTCGGACGCAATCAACTTCGCGCAGCGCAGACAAGCCGTCATTCGGTTTGTCCAAGACGCTATCGCAGCTTCTGTCGACCGACAGAAGCTGAACCAGACAATGTTGGTAGGGGCAACACTAATGAATTGAAGAAGGGTTCATTGGTTTTGTTAGCAACTCAAAACCTGCCTAAACATGCAGTTTCCGACTTCGGGGCGAACAAGCTCGCTCCACGCTTCATCGGGCCGTTCACGGTGTTGACACGGCATGGCAACGCCTACACGCTAGATATTCCATCTAGCATGCGCCTCCATCCGACCTTTTACGTCGGGCGGCTGAAACCATATCGGCAGTACGAGCCACCCAGCTCGGCTGGCCCGAAGCGGAAGCCCCAGCGGGAGCGAACCTCTGCTCCAGCGCGTGAACGCGCTGGGCCAAGCGTGCGACGCGACCTCCCACGTCGACAGAGATGTCCGACGCGGTCTGCGAGGTCTAAGCAACTTGAGCCCTCAAGATCGCCACCTCCTGCTTCAGAGCGGCAAACTCCCGGCTCTGAAGCTGTTCCACAGCAGCGACCCGCTCCTCGAGCGTTCGGCCAAGGTCAACCCCAGGTTGACCATACCCGGGGCGTGTTCCCACCACCGCCGCCTCCGATCCGCGACGCCCGCGGCTCAACACGCTCGATTGTTGAGCGTATTCTGAACCATAGTATCCCGAAAACGAACCGGCAGCCGGTTCGTTATCGTATTCGTTGGAGAGGGTTTCCGCCCCACCAAAATACATGGGAGCCACGGGACGTCCTGCTGCAGGACGTCCCGGAAATGGTGAGGGCGTACGAAGTTCTCCATGCACTGCCGACGCGAAGGTAGTGCGAGCGCTGTGGTCACCTACAGCGCCCGAGGTCCCACGATCGTCGCGTTCCTCGCGTGCCAAGAACTTGGCACGAAGATCCTTGAGACTCTCAGGTACACGAATCGTCGTGTAGCCGTTTAGGTCGCGGTCGCTGAAGCGCGCCGCACCCGGAATACACAACGTGCACTGATGGCCTTCAGGCACAGCGCATGGAATACCAGCGTCCACAGAGGATCTGGGGAGCTGCTCCAGCCTCCCGCGCGTCGAGAATGTCTCGAAGCGCTCACGGGCATGCTTAACCCGCTCACGGTAAGCAACCGGCTTCTTGTTGAAGTTCTCAACAAAAGCATTCCAACTTTGACAAAGTGCCTGCCACTCAGGCACTTTGCTGCTAGAAGAAGTCTTCTTGCTGGAGAAGTACCGGAGCTCGTAGAAGAGCCCGATGTAATAATCGCACCTTTGATTCGTTAACTGATCAAAGTGCTGCTCCTCCGCAACAGCATCGTCGTGGATACCACTGCATACGTACAGCGGGATTTCGTTAGGAGGCACAGTGTTGCCCACACGGTCTGCGATCTCTGACGCAGACGGCATGCACGGATCGTGCGCTGCCTGAGCAGCGCGCGGAGAGCTTGAAGGCGCCACCTCACGCGGGGAGCTTAAAGCCCCAGCAGCAGAGAGCGAAGTGTCGCTCTCGCCGCGCGAACGCTTCGAGTTCGAAGCGTCCGAGTCGTCTACTTCACGAGGGCGTCTCGACCCGGCATGCGGGTCGAGACTATCGCTGTCGATAGACTCCTTGCGCTTGCTAGAAGAGGCCTCGCCCTCTTCCATCTCCACGTCGCCGTCCTCGAAGTCAACGGCGTCGTTGATTACAGAAGAACCTTCGAGGACAATCTCTGGTTGAGTTATCCCCGCAGCAGCCTTGGTAGCAAGAGCGTCACGCTTTGCTTTGAGACGCTCGCGGTACTCGGGGATAGAGAGAGTCTCTATCCCGGCGGAGGACTTCCCCTCTGCTGCAGCGTCGGTCTTCTTCTGAGGCGAGCTTATTGCGGAATGAGCTCGAGTTTTCTTTCTCCCAACGTGAAGAATTGACGAATGGTCAATTTCCTGATTGACGTTCCGTGACTCGGTGCGTCTAACCTTGAGGGGGGGGGGGGGGGGGTGTAACAGGGTTACACGCACAAGTGGATACAGTCACTTGTAACTCTAACAGATACGACGTCTGTTAGAGGTTCGAAAGACTTTCTCGACCTTGGGGTAGACACACCAAAGGCTACATACATTTACGACCACCACGATGGGTGGTCCATAGTGACTTAGGATTCCTATTGGCTGAGAGCAGCATATTTTAGCCAATGAGCGACATGCATAGCATTGGAATTCTGCCAACCAGCCGTTGGCAGATTCCTATCTTAGAATATTACATTTAGAGGAAGTCAGAAACATAAAACAAAAATAGCAGTTCTCATTTTAACCCAAAAACATTATTTGGATCGTTAATTTGGATTAATCTATACTCGGAGGCGAGTATAATTAACTCTAATTTAAATTAAGCTACGCTTCCTCACATACACGCGCACACGTGTAAGCAAAAGTAGTGGGCCAAAGTAGGCCCATTACACTGTAGCTCCCCGAGCTCCCGGCCACGCTGCTCATCGCGATCGCGATAGTATAGCACCCAGTCCTCCAGGTCCCCAAGGCGGTCCCAGACCTCTCGAGGCACCTCGATCCATTGCGTCCGCTCGGCGAGCTGGTCGAGTTCGATGGCAGTCCGGCCCAGACGCGCATCAACGTCATGGATGTGATCCCGAAGGCGACCCGCCTGCTGCCGCGTGTCCAAGAGCTCATCTTGAGTCGCAAAGGGCCCCACAGCGGCCTCCACCGGCTCTGCTCGATGAGCATGGGAATCTACATTACCATGTGGGGCGCCTCCTGGCGAAACGCCGGTGCCGGGGTCAAAACCAGTATCTGGTGAAATGGCGAGGTATCCTCACCCCGAGAACTCATGGGAGTTTGAGGTGCCCCTCCGCCAAGACTGCCCAGACGTCGTGGACGCTTTTGATCGGCTTGATCGCCAGCGCCCCGAGGGCTCAAGGCCGGCACGCCGGTCGTCCCGCGCTTCCCGGCAATAAGCTGGGGAGCTGCTGGGTCAGCCACATTGCTCCGAGGCTGACCCTGAGCCACAGCGCTCACTCCCTCGCTGGAAGGAGCAGCTGGAGTGCTCGAAGGAGCGAAGCGCGCAGCGCTAAACTGGGTCTGCGCCTGGGCGAGTGCCGAGAGGCTGCGCTTGGCTCGAACCTTTGCGAAATCGAAGCAGAGCTTGCGTTCAATGCGAACATCCACTTCACTGAAGCTGGCTCGGAGTGCGTCCATGGAGCTGAGCTTTCGGCTGTGCTCGGCCCAAGACTCGAACTGAGCTTCGTACTCAATTGAGTCTTCCCCCGGGCTAAGTACCACCGGGTACGTCCGCATGGCGGGCACGGACTTCTGCTGGGCTTGCAGCCGCAGCACTCCGCGACAATTGTGATATCGGGAAATGACCGAGAACAGCCCGCGCCGAGGCCTAACGGTCTTGAACCTTCGAGTGACAACCAGCCGAGCACTCTGATTGGTTACTCTCCTTCCCCGCACTAGAGTGACAGTTGGACAGCCATTTAGTGACCAGGCACAGCGGGTCATAATAGATCCCCGGTGAGCCCTCCAATTAGTCATAGTGGGTACAAGATTTGCCTCTCATTATGAATCCGGTCCTAGCCGAGGAGTCGTCGAGTCGTCGGTCCGGCTCGAAGGCTCGGTTGATACTCGACATTTGTATAGACATTAGGGATTAGTTATAGGGAAGGCCTCACAGCCTCTAATCACTAAATCAGAGCAGAATTCCCCCCCGAAGCCACACAAGGATCAAGTCCGTCTACCGGTAAGTCTTAGCTTAGCTGTAGAGTCTGGATACGCTCGGCCGACGCGGGGTATGCCTGCCGGTGAGCATAAGGTACATTGGCCGAGTGTTCATCCCTGGAAAGGCCAAGAGTGAGTAGTGGCCGAGTGTTTGAGGTATTAGAGACCTCCTTGTACAGTTGTACGTTTGTCTGGGTGTCCCCCAAAATATTTGACTTCCAGCCGAGGCTTCGCCCCGGCGCCCCTGTCCGAGGCCTCGATTGGCCTGGTACCCTTCCTTCTGAGGGACCACAGTGGGTTAAGCGTGAAAGCGCGTGTGTACATTGCATCCTAGTCGTAGCTCGTGGCTAAGGGTGCTCTTATATTTGATTTACGGGCTCTACCTACCTGACCGACGACTCGCATAAGGCACATTCCAGCCCGGTGTAAGGGAACGGGTCTGGTCTTCCGATTTAATCCCAACAATAAGCGCCGACCTTTTAGGAGGGAAGCGTGTTGTTGGAAGGGCTCGTCCCAAAGCCTTGGCTAGAGGGACGGGGACTCGTTAAATCGTGTTTTCCTATACGACAACTGGTGCCGCGACCCGGGACTGGTGTGACCATACTGTGTGTTGCGGTCTGTGTTGGTATTGTCCCAAACGAGCATTGAGAGGAAGAGAAGAAGAAGAGAAGAAAAGAAGAAACAAGAAGAACAAGAACAAGATGGTGAAAGATCCAAGTCAGCGGTGCCAGCTACGCCGGCAAATTGGGACGGGGATCGACCGAAGGCTTGTCGACGATCGCGAGTGACATGACGTCTCGGCTGTCGACAATCTCCGAAGGGTCGGTCCGTTTCGAAGAGTCGGTTGACGAGGATTCGGACGCCAACGATGACATGATGATGAACTACGACGACCTGGAAGAGAAGACTCCCGCGATTGCGGATGAGTACGAAGACCAGGAGGAAGCGATGGTGTCGGCTGGACGCAGTGGGGGTTCACGCTCCCTCAGCCGAAACCTCGTCTCCGAATTTGATGAAGTGGCGCGGCCGGACTTTGCAGACGATGACTCCGAGGATGGCACCGAGACCTTGACTTCGAGGGCTCTGGTGCAGGTTACTAAGGATCATCGCGAGTCTCAGGGAAACCGGCCTGCGATGAACAGCAGCACCCCAGCTGCGAACAAGGTGCTCGGCCGAGTGCTCGAGCAGATGATGGAGACGAGTGAGTGGATCCGTCAGTTCAATCCAGAGGGTGTGCGCCAGGCGACGTGGACGGAGCTGAAGGAGGAGTTGCAGCACCCCGTGGAGTCGAGTTCCACCACTCAGGTGGTCGAAGACACGGTGTCACTCCTCCGAGCCATGGGTTTCGAGCCGATGACTCGCCCGTCCGAGACCTCGATCAAGGACTGGCCGCCAGCTATCGCCGGCAAGGAGTTGCATAAGTAGAAGAGGAAGCTTCGCCTAAGCTTTGGCGAGACGGACCTCACTCTGGGACGTCTGCCAAGCGCCCGTCCGGCGAAGGGGCCAACCGATCCCTCGAAGATCCCGCTCCCGCAGACTCCGAAGAAGACGACCGAACGTTCGAGCAGACGCCAGACTACGGATGGAGTATTCTCTGTCAAAGCCGAAGGCACGCCCTACTTTCAGGATTCGCATATGGTGACCCCTCGGTCGGCTACCCGAACCGAGCGCATCGCTCGTGAAACCGAGGGTACGCGAGCCGAACGGAGCTCCAACCGAAGTGGCTCAAGACGATCGAGCCGTAGGTTCACACCGCGCGACGACTCTTCGTCGAGCGATGATGACGACGGTGCGCCTGACTACGACGGAGGCTTTGACATTTCTAGCGACGAGTTAGCCCGTCAGGTGGGCGAAGTGAGCGAGATGGAGCGTCTGAAGTCGACCCCTCGGATCGAGGTCGCGACTCACCGACCCCTCGCCCAGATCAAGAATTTCTCTGGTGCCCGCAATCGGAGCGAGAACTCCATGCAGTGGCTCCGAGCCTTCGTCTACGAGATGAAGGGGACGCACACTCCGCCCAACGAGTGGTGCATGGCTTTCGAACTGAGCCTTCGGGACGGTGCTTTGCACTGGTACCGTCAGCTCCCCAAGAAGACGAAGCGTTGGTGGAAGCTGCTCAGTGATGCTTTCATCAAGTATTACTGCACGCAGTTCAGCCAGTCTGCGAAGGCTCGCTACTACTCGGCGCGACGTGACGGTTTGGAACATCTGTGCGACTACCTAAATCGGCTGAATGGCTACGCTCGCAACGCTGGCCTTCAGTTCGAGAAGGGCGGACGCGACGCGAAGGATCATGTGCAACATTTCCTCGAGACGTGTGGTGACCGAGGACTCGAGCGGCGGCTTTGCCACGTTCGAGTCACGGACATCCATGAGCTTGAAGACATGGTTAACGACATCCTCAAGTCGGAGGAACGTGGACACGGCAGGGATGCCTCGTCGCATGCCTCGTCTCATCAGTCACGTGGACGCGAACATTCTCGCAGACGGGACGAGCGTCAGAGCGAACAGGCGCGCGACAATAGCCGCCCTGAACGTTACGAGCGCCGTGACCGAGACCTCGGACGCCGTCGTGAGGACTCGCGCTATGCCCCACGTGTGTCGCTGGCCGAGGCGTCGCTTTCCGACTTGGTGGCTGAGTTGCGGGTCCGTGGGACGAAGAGTGGTCGATCTGATCGCCCGGATCCCCGCGGGCAGTCGCGCAACGACAGTCGAAGTGAGTCCAGTGGCAGCCGATACTTCGAGGGCGACCGAGGCTTCAGTGACTACAGTGACGTCGACACCTCGGATGAAGAAGGAAGCCATGTCGCAGCGGCGAATGAGCAGGAGAGGCGTGCTGCAGCTGAAGGAACCTACGCCCGGTCCGACCAACGTCAAGGCAGGGGTGGGGAACCCGGCCGAGGCTTCGACCGATCCAACCGACACTTCAGCCGAGACAACCGCGATGGTCGCCCGCGTCAGTACGGACCCTGCGCAGCATGTGGTGGTGCCGGACATTCGGCACTCTACTGCTACCGACGCTGCAGACTGTGTCAACAAGTCCACGACATCGGCAAGTGTGAAGCACTCCAAGCCCTCACCTCGTACCTTCGGATGAAGGTTGAGAAGAAGGACCTCTCTCCCGAGCTCCAAAGTCTAGTCTTCGGTGGCAATTTAAACTAGGCAGCCCGCCAACTGAAACTGGGTTGGTCCCAATCGGGCTGCCACAGTTAGCTGATCCCGCGACCGATGCAGACTGCGTCTACGCGTTTGTGGGAACAAGCAAACGGCCGAACGACAAGGTCAAGGAACATGTGAAAATGACTGAAATTGAAAAGGAGAGAGGGGAAACCCTCGGTGGAGGTGAAAATTGTGGAAAGAATGAAGGAGATGAAGATGGAGATGCAACCGAGGCCTGGGTCTCAAGCGCGGTGGAGAGTGAACGCCCTGGCCGAACGCCCAGTGGAGTGACCAAGTTACTCCCAGGCGAGAGGCTGGGGTGGTGGTCCGCACAGAAGTTCAACAAGAGAGCACGGATGAGAGCTCTGGTCAAGGGTGCGGTCAACGACACGATAGCGAGGCTTCTGTTGGATACGGGAGCAAACGTGAGTGTGATTTCGGAGAAGTTTGCGAAGCAGTTGCGGTTGCGTGACATTCAGGGACACGGCCGCTGTATGGAAATCCAAGGGTTTACGAAGGGAACCATGGCTACGGAGAGACGAGCCCTCGTCAAGGTAACCCTCGGCTGGGTAAGTGTGTACGAGTTTGAGTTGTGGATCATGGATCATGGCGCCGGAGTGGATGTAGTCCTCGGCACCGATTTTATGATCCCGGCCGGAGTACGTTTGGACCTGTCCCATGCAATCGCGAGGTTGCCGGACGAGGTCAGCATCCCGCTCATTAAGACTCTATGTGCGCCGGACGACCAAGGCTTCGGTCCGCATGTTAATGGTGGACCGTCCGAGGACTTGCCCGTCCAGAGCCAAGAGTTTGTGGAATACCGAGTACAGCGACGCCAACCACCTCTTGATACACACGAAGTGTGGGTACGTCGCACGAAGTTTCTGCTGCCGACGGTGACGAAGTTTCGGCGGGGCAAGGTCGAGAGGGTTCGGTTGACTAATGTGTCTGACCGTCCGACGACGTGTCACGCACACACTCCAGTGTTGCTATGGGTACCGATTGGTGATCTTCCGAGAAACGACGGCTATGTTCGACTCAACTCGGCCCGATACGAAGACTGGCAGAAGCTTGCCTACGAGAGCAGCCGCGACGAAGTTGTCTTTGCGCGCGAGTGCGAGGCGTATTCGAAGTGGCTGGCGTCGCAACCGCCGGCTGTGGATCGGCCAACTTACACTCCGCCAACTGGGGTGATGGTCCGTCCAGCCGACGACTCGTCCGACCGAAGGCTCAATTTGAGTTGCGCCGAACGATGGGAACGCGAACTCGCGAAGCGTGAAGCGAGAGAGCAACTCGCTGCTGACGGCTCGCCAGTGGGTGATGGATGATCCGGCAGCGCTCCTTTCCGGAGCCGCAGAGCTTGAGCACGCGTGAACCGAAGTCACGTCTGGGGTGACGGACGAGGCCACCCACCGAGACGGTACAGGCGAGTCTGGCGACGCGGAGGCGTGTTCAGAGTCCAGCCTGGAATCAGATGGCACGCTAGGAAGTGATGACAATGGCGGTGATGATGATGAATCGGAGCACTCGTACCAGGATGAAGATTCGGCTGGAGCCGACGATCCGATGCTGCTTCTGGAGCGTACCTACGTCTCGGTCGCGACCACGCTGACGGCAGAAGCAGATGACGGTGCTGAGAAGGACTTTGCGTCGGAACACCAGGCGAACGACATTAACTTAGAGGATTATGCTCACGAACTAGCCTTCCTGCCTGATCTGACCGAAGCCTCGGTTACGGAGCTGGACTATTCGGCTGCGAATGTACGGCACCCGGACTTGAGTTGCGGCCGCCAGGACCGCGTGGTTAAGGTACTCCGGAAGCACGAGAAAATTCTGATCTCCAGTGGTAATGCACTGCCACCACCAGCATATAGGGTGGTGTGTGACATCGATGTACAAGGACACGCCCCGATCAAACAGAGGGCTCGAAGGATTCCCGTCCGACACATCAAGAAGCTCTATGAGTTGCTCCGAGGGTTGCTGAAGGCGGGTCTGATTGCGTTTTCGAGCAGTCCGTGGTCGTCCCCGATTGTCATTGTGCTGAAAAAGAATGGCGCGATATCCGACTGTGCATCGATTACAAGATGGTGAACGCCATCACCGCAATCATGGAGTATGCGATGCCTCTGGTCGATGACCTGCTCACCGATCTGGAGAAGTATTTGTGGTACTGCTCGCTTGACGCTGCGAGTGGGTTTTGGGCGATCATGACGACGCAGCGAGCACGTCAGATCTCTGCGTTTGTGTGCGCCTTGGGCCATTTCGAGTGGCTCCGGATGCCATTCGGGCTCAAGAATGCGCCCATGATATATCAGAGAATGCTAGACAACGCGCTGTGGGGCTTCGTCCAGCCGAAAGGTGGATGGAGCCACTTTGCAACACTGATGGAGCAAGCAGAGCCGCATGACCAGGAGTCCACTCGAGACCGGGCCGAACCGTCGGTTGCACCGAAGTCTCGGACCGAGCCCTCGCCCACCAAGTTCGAGGCGGGGCTTGGAGCTGGTCGTGTGGGAACGCTGTGTCAGAGTTGATCAACAGTCCTCTCGCCGACATGTTTGCCGATGGGGAGCCTGATAGATCCTCGTTGGTACCCGTATTCGAGCGACGATCCTTCGTGGACGATATCTGTTTCGGGGGTGAGTCGTTCGATGGACGTTGGACCGACTCTTGGCGCGGTTCGAGGAGTGCCGTATTAGTGTGAGCTTCACCAAGAGCATCTTCGTGCGACCGAGGGTGGATTTCCTGTCCCACGTGGTAACACGCAATGGCATCCAAGCAGACCCGAAGAAACTGAAGGCTCTGACCGAGCTCTCGTTCCCACGGTCGAAGAAGGGTGTTCAAGCATTCTTGGGCTCACTCAACTACTACAGTCGGTTCATCCAGGACTTTGCAGTGTACGGTGCCGCGCTCTACCAGCTCAAGAACGAAGACTTTTCAGCCGGAAGCGACCTCTCGGCCGCGAGACGAAGCTTTGCTGCACTTCAACAGAAGGTTGCGGACGCACAGATACTGCGATACTTCGACAGCGACCGCGCTATCCATGTGATGCTGTTCGCGAACGAGTGGGCCCTGGGCACAACGCTCATGCAAGAGCACGACGGAATGATGCACCCGGTGCGGTTCTGTGGCCGAGTCCTCAAGGACGCCGAAATGAACTATCACCCAGCCGAGAAGGAGGTCCTGGCGCTGCTGCAGTTATTGAAGGTGTGTTACACACAGCTCACAGGTCGGACCATCCACGTCTATACGCGGTTTTCGACGCTCGAATGGGTTCACAAGTCGAAGTCTCTGTTCGGACGTGCGACCCAGTTTGCGGTGCTGCTGTCTCCGTGGCACTTGGTCGTTACGCGCGTTAAGGAGAAGGATTGTGCCTTTGCAGTCGTCGATCACAAGTTTCGTCGACCACGAGGGCTCGTTGGCACCAGTGACTCCACCGACACGTGACTCACCGAGTGTTCGGATGGATCCGCATCTGCTGTACGCACGACTGCCTCGTGACTACTGTGGCTATGTGCTCTCTTTCGATGACTCTGCTAAGACTGAGAAGCATGGGGGCTACGGGAGTTGTGCATGGATTCTGTGGAAATTGCCGGATTGGTCAATAGTGATCGCTGCGAGTGCTTATCTCGAGGCAACGACAGTGAACCTGGCCGAGTACTCGGGTATGAACAACGGCATGACCGCAACCTTAGCAACTGGGGCTGAGGAGTTGGTTATCGTCGGAGACTCGAGACTCGCAATCCAGCAATCCCTAGGGGTGATCGCATGTCGTAAGGGAACACTGATGGCACAACTCAGCCGACACAAAGAACTGAGGTCGAAGTTTCGGTCCGTGAAGTACCTGCACGTTGTCCGCGAGTTCAACGCCGCAGCAGACTCTTTAGCGAGTGAGACTTTCGAAAAAAAGGGGTTCGGTGACTGTGAACGACAAGACTCGGATTGAAGAGCTGGCCCAGCTGAACCGCATCCAAGAGGTTATCTACGAACCGCCAACCGAGACTTCGCCACCAGACAAGCCTCGTCAGCAGAAAGGTCGAAGGAAGAGGCCCACGTGTGGTGAACTCGATCCGAGCACTGGACGCATCGGATACGACCCGCCGTAAGAAGTTTTTCGATTTCGTGCGAGAACCGTCATATGTATCGGTAGTGACCAGGCGACAAGCGAGAGAACGAGAGAGGCGGGTCCGCTTTGCAGACGAAGAACAAGTGGTGAACCAGGAAGAATGTAGCCCGGATGCAGACCCCGACCAAGACGACGATGCTGGACCCTCGGATCAACCAACGCAACCGAGACTTGACGCAACGGTAGTTCACGAACCGAGCGCTGAGGATATTGACCCTGTGGTAGTGTAGGAGGAACGCCGTCGGCGTATCGGCGCGGCTCAGGACGAGGAACTTCGGTGGTCGAACCTCAAGACGGTATTGAAAGGCGAAGAAGCGAGACTTGGTTACAAAACAGCGCGAGAGGCCTGGAAGATGTCCGATAAGTTTGTGCTGAGTGAGGACGGACTATTGTATTTCCTCGGTTCGAACCGTCGGTCAGGTCGTGACCGGCCCGAGGAGTCAACATTGCGGCTGGTGGTACCAACCACGATGGTACAGGAGGTGCTACAAAGCTGCCACGACTCGCTGGAGGGAGGCCATCAGGGCATCACCCGAACGTACCACCGAGTGAAAGCTGACTACTACTGGATTGGGTTGTTTGCGGACGTCGAAAGACACGTACGCTCGTGCCCAGACTGTAGCTCAAGTAAGAGCCGTCCGCAACTTCGCGGATACTCGCCGGGCAACATCTTAGCAGAAAGGCCGTTGCAGATAGTCTCGATGGATTTCGTCATTCCCCTGCCGAGGACTCGGCGAGGGAACACGGCGCTGCTGCTGTTCCAGTGTGCATTCACGGGGTTTGTAATGGGTAAGGCCATGGCCGACACCTCAGCCCTATGCGTCGCGCAAGCTTTCGAAGAGTGCGTCTACCGAAGCTTCGGTGCTCCTACCCTCATCCGACATGACAGAGACCCTCGCTTCATTGGCGAAGTCTTCCTAGCGTTTACGGAAATGATGCAATCGAGGTCTCGGACCACCCTGAGCTATCGGCCACAAGCCAACGGCCAGCAGGAACGCTCGGTTAAGACTGTCATACAGTCCGTCTGAGTGTACGCGGAAGACCCGCTCCAACACGACTGGGATGAGATCGTGGAGAAGCTGATCTTTGCTATCAACAACTCGCAGGACGCCACGCGCAAGGACACGCCGTTCTACCTTGTACACGGCTGGGATGCGCGGACGACACTTAGAGCTATGTCTTCGTCACTGAAACGAGGCCGCGGTCGCCAAACCGACGCCTTAGCTTGGAGACGAGAAGCCAATCGGCAACAGGAGATCGCGTTGGAGATGGCCAAAGAGTACCAGGCGACAGAGAAAGCCAATCGAGCCGAGAAGCACAACGAGACCCTGAGTCGACGCGAACGAGAATCTCTACCGACGTCTGACCGAACCGAACCTTCAGGTGAAAACACTGAAACGATGGACCCGACCGATGACTCGTCGACCGAAACCTCGAAGTCGCTCTTTGAGCCGGGCGATCGTGCCTGGATCTACATGGAGCGTGTGAAACCGGGGCTGACGAAGAAGTTGGCGCATCGCTGGCATGGCCCCTTAAAAATCAAGAAGAAGGTGGACGAGTACGCGTATGAGCTGGCTCTACCAGACCGGAGTGGGTATAGATTCTACCCAGTCGTCCATATCTCGACTAAAGAAAGTGAACGAGTTTGGAGACCGACCGAAGACTCGGTTGGTAACTGACGTCACGGATGAGACGAGACTAGACTTCGATGAAGAGCTTCTACCCGAAGACAGCTTTGAATCGGACCACCTCACTGGTGAGTACGAGGTGGAGGCTATTCTGGATGATCGAACGCCGCTCTCGACGGGCACTGAACGCGCGGTCAGAGAGTTCCAAGTGAAATGGGTTGGTTATGATGAACCCACGTGGGAGTCCGCGTCCAACCTGTCGTGCGGAGGGATGCTGTACGATTACTTGCGCGCTAAGCGCAGCGATCGTCGTTTGCAGACGGTCCAAGTCGCAGACGAGCACTAGATGCGACTGGCGCAACATGATGAACTGCCGGCGGGGCGATGCAGCCCGCCTCAGCAGACGAAAAGAACTACTGCAGCAACATTTACTACATGTATGCATATTGCACGAACTCTCGGATGGATCCTACGAACTACTCAAGTGGAGGCATGGAGATGCTGTTTGAATTTGAAATTAGAAATCTGACGACGCCAACAGACTGAGAAACACTACAATGCATCGAGAAGACTACGTTCAGGCCGGGCAGAAGAAACGAAGAGGAGAAAGCGAGCCTATGGCTTCGACGCGGAAGCGGCGTGAGCGAGCACTTGGAGGTGGCCAGAGGCAGCGGCCGGGCGCTGGAGACCCGGCGGAGATGTCGACTCCTCAACCGAGCCCTCGATCTGGTTGTCCTCTTCGCCGGAGCTGAGCTCGGGCTCGTCTGATCCAGCCGGAGTTATTGGAACGAGGCTCAACTCAGGAGAAGCAGCATCGTCCGAGCGCTCGGGCGAACGAAGAGTCGGCACCTCGTTTGGAATGCGGAGGCGATCGGACCGAGCGTTGCGCTCAGCCGAGTACTTGAGCCACGCCTCCTTGATGGCTAGGTACGCTTCGGAATCCTCTCCGAGCCTTGGACATAGACGGTCGAGCCATATCTCTACGGCCGCCGGAGATACCAAGTGCGCACGCTCGTACAACGCAAAGGCCAGATCGTGACTTTCGGTTGAACCCCCTGCTCGGCAACAAAACGGACGCCACAGCTTCGTGAGCAACGCGATTCCAGTCGCACGAATGGAGATAGGAACGTCAGGAAGGAAGTCGGTGACGTCGAACAAGCACGGCTCGGCTGGGAGACTCTCGATGAACCGCCAGAAGGGGTGATCAGGATTCGTCCAGTCGCTGAAAGCTTGGATCCCTTCAACCGAACACTCGACTTGGGCAGACGTTGGAACCGGCGGGACGGTTCGAGTTTCCAGGATCTCCCGCCAGCACTCCTCTGCTCCAGGACTCGCAAACGGAGGCGACAGGAGTGACCAGTCATATTTACCGCCGCGAAGAACCTGGTCGCGGCGAGCGGTCGACGCAGCCTGACGAGACGAGGCTTCAGCACGGCACGCTTGAGCAGTAGTCTGACGGACTGGAACGAGACCAACCCTCGGCTGCACAGGCTCAGCCCTCGGACGAGAAGACGGCACGACTGGGGCAACCGGAAGGGGCCGGGCTTGTGAACGCTGACGGAGCTGTATCTTAGCTCCTTTAGCCGACACCTTCTTGGGGTACGACTCGATCCAGCACGCGAAGACGCAGGAGTGAGAGTCCCTACCGAGACCGAGCTCTCCACTTCGCGAGTGAGATCCACCTCGGCAGGGCACCGAACCGACGGCTCGTCGAGACCCAGGACCACGTCGTCAGGGGCGTTCTCACTCTCCACCGCGACCTTGGACTGGAGAGAAGCCACAGTGGACGCAGAACGAACTGACCGGCCATCCTTGCGAGGCTGAATAACAACCGAAGCCTCGTAAGGGGAGTTGTAGTTCAGCACCGAAGAGTTCACGACGTGCTCTGCTCCCCGTGCTCGGTCTGAGGGTACTGCAGACGAATTGGACAGGCGAGCCGGCGAAGGTGGAGGCGTCCGAAGGATGCAGAGACGACGGCGCGACTAGAGGGCGGGAAACCGAAGCCTCGGTCCCGAGCTCAGAAGTGGCTGCCGATGAGGCGAGCGTTCGACCCGAAATAGTTGCCTGTTCCACCGACGTGGCCGAAGCATCAGGAAGACGTAGTGGCCGACTGCCAGCAGGTGGGCGCGCTCCTCTTTACAGGAGGCTTCGAGGGACGGCCGAGCCGAGAGTTCAGATTCGAAGGAGCAGGCTTCCGAGGGACAGTGGACGGCGCGACGGCAGCAGGAGTCGGCCCGGTCAGCTTCTTCCGACGCTTCGACGATGGCACCAAAGGCTCGTCATCATCCGAGCCCTCCGAGAAGAGGCCGACGTCTCCGAAGTCCTCGTCTCGATCTGAGTCAGGACTCGTCTGGTCCTGGTCCTGGTCCTTGGCCTTGGAAGATGGGCGGACAACCGCTGGTGCTGAAGCCTCGCGCGGGCGCTTCAGCGGAGCAGTCGCAGCCGAAAGCTCGAAATCCATGGCGGCGAAGTCTCGGAGGAAATCCATCACAATGGGAGGCAATAACGAGTCGTCGCCGAGGTCAAGGTTCGCCAGGATGAAGCGTTGATCGTTCGACTGCTGGAGATACGCGTGGAACTTCTTCAGGGTGTCAGAGTAGCGGGACAGCCCTTCACGAAAGCTTTAGCAGTCCTTCTTGATGACGGCGTGGAGGCTCGTAAGCGAAGAGTCGCGCTTCGAAACTTGGGCCTTCAGGTGGTCGATCACCTCAACGCTCTGAGCGACGGCTCGGTTGGCCGTAGCGAGTTGTCGGCTAATGGAGTCCCGCTCATCGCGAAGAGCCTGGGCAACCGTAGCCAACTGCCCTCGCTCAGCCGACGCCTGGGTACACAGCCGCTCCGTGCGGAGACGGATGTCGTTCTCGCTGTTGAGCCTGCGCTCACTACGAGCCGCGGCTTCCTCCAGACGACGGACCTCCTGGCGTAGGGCTTCAACCTCTTGATCCCAGCCGAGGGGACGCGGCAAACGTCTGGCGAGACTGCTCGGACGACATCGCTGAGACTTCGGGCATCGGTTAAACGCTGGTCGAGGTCGTAGCCGACTCGCAGCGGCGGGAACCTGACGAGGCCGATCATGAGCTGGCCGGGGTCTGCCAACCGTTGGTCCAGATGATCCTCCAACCGAGACTCGATGCGGCGCACGGTGCGAGCGACGTTTGCTTCGATCAGGTCCTCGAGTGCTACCCCAAGCGACCAAGGAATCGGCGCGAGAGGCGAAGACTCGGGGGCGTCACCGGGAGCCGACGACGAGGGCTCGGGCGAAACGGGCTCGTGGGCTTCCGTGTAAGCTGATTGGCAAAACTGGGATGGACCAGACACAGGGTCGACCGAGTCATCGGACCGCACACTCGACGGAGACTGAGGAGGAGAAGATGGAACACCTTCATCTGAGCGAGCCGACACCCCACGTCCACCTTCCCCCGGCTTCGTGGGAGTTGGTGACGACCGCTCACGAGGGCTCGACATCGAAGGCTCGGAGAGACCGGAGTCGACAGAAACACGGGCAGCATCAACCTCGACCGAGTCCTGGCGCTCACCCGACGCCCCGCCAGCACCAGCTGCAACGGGAGGTGGCGACGAAGATGCGCCAGAAACGCCGGGCACTTGAGCAGCCACAGACGCTGCACGGGGTGCCCCGCTTGCCGAAGCAGAGGCGGAAATTGGCACCGCCGAGCCCTCGAGAGGAGACGCCGAGCCCTCGGGTGGAGGCGCAGAAGAGCCGTTCCCGTCAGCAGATGAGCGTGGCCCAGCAGGCGGCTGCACGCGACAAGAGAAAAAAGGTTAGCGACGGAAGCTGCGGCGCGATGACGAACAGACTTCACCAAAGATATGGACTTACCGAGGAATCAGAGCCGACGGCGCGGAGGGCAGCAGCTTGCGCCTCGTCCAGAGCACTCAGCGCGCGCGGCATGGAAGCAGGGACGGCGTGCACCACGACACTCCAGTAGGCTGGGTCGGGCCGCGGTGAGGGCTGCTGTGGTATCGAGAAGTGCCGGCGGGAGAACAGCCCCGCGCCGAGGCCTAACGGTCTTGAACCTTCGAGTGACAACCAGCCGAGCACTCTGATTGGTTACTCTCCTTCCCCGCACTAGAGTGACAGTTGGACAGCCATTTAGTGACCAGGCACAGCGGGTCATAATAGATCCCCGGTGAGCCCTCCAATTAGTCATAGTGGGTACAAGATTTGCCTCTCATTATGAATCCGGTCCTAGCCGAGGAGTCGTCGAGTCGTCGGTCCGGCTCGAAGGCTCGGTTGATACTTGATATTTGTATAGACATTAGGGATTAGTTAAAGGGAAGGCCTCACAACCTCTAATCACTAAATCAGAGCAGAATTTCCCCCCGAAGCCACACAAGGGTCAAGTCCGTCTACCGGTAAGTCTTAGCTTAGCTGTAGAGTCTGGATACGCTCGGCCGACGCGGGGTATGCCTGCCGGTGAGCATAAGGTACATTGGCCGAGTGTTCATCCCTGGAAAGGCCAAGAGTGAGTAGTGGCCGAGTGTTTGAGGTATTAGAGACCTCCTTGTACAGTTGTACGTTTGTCTGGGTGTCCCCCAAAATATTTGACTTCCAGCCGAGGCTTCGCCCCGGCGCCCCTGTCCGAGGCCTCGATTGGCCTGGTACCCTTCCTTCTGAGGGACCACAGTGGGTTAAGCGTGAAAGCGCGTGTGTACATTGCATCCTAGTCGTAGCTCGTGGCTAAGGGTGCTCTTATATTTGATTTACGGGCTCTACCTACCTGACCGACGACTCGCATAAGGCACATTCCAGCCCGGTGTAAGGGAACGGGTCTGGTCTTCCGATTTAATCCCAACAATAAGCGCCGACCTTTTAGGAGGGAAGCGTGTTGTTGGAAGGGCTCGTCCCAAAGCCTTGGCTAGAGGGACGGGGACTCGTTAAATCGTGTTTTCTTATACGACACAGTCGTAGACTGTGGAGTGAGGAGCCGCTCTCGCAGAGACGTACGCAGTGCGAGCTCCTCCGGAGTACGGGCCGCGGGCCCAATGGCGTGCAGCGTGAAAGACTGCTGGAACGCCTGGCGACAAGCCTCCGCGGGGTCGCGAGGCCGGAAGCCGTAGTCGGCAGCGCTGGGGTTCAGCAGAGGCCGCAGTTCGGGGCGCTGGGAGCGCGTGGGAGCCATCTGCGCCGCAACCTGCTCGGACTGAGCTTCGTCCAAAGGGTTGGAGATGACGGGGCCCAGCGGCACACCCTCACCACGAGGTGGCGAATACCGTGGCTCCGTGAGCGCGCGCAGCTCGTAGAGGCCGGAAGAGCGTTCGGGGAACGGCTTCGGAGTGCGCAGCGGTGGCCGCGGCTCCTCCCTCGATGGCGCAGTGCGCTCAGTGGCGAGACGGCTCGGGGAGCGCACAGGAGATGTGTGCGCGGAGCGCCCTTGATCGCGACGGCTCGGAGAGCCAACTGGGGCCGGCGAGCCTTCTTCACGGCGTGTCGACGGTGTGGGCGAAGCGTCGCTGCGGCTCGGGGAGCGTCGCGTGAGTGGGGACGCATCTCCTCGGTTCGGAGAACCCTCCATGGACTTGTCCACCTCGCCCTCTTCACCAAAGAGTTCCCTAGGATTCATGATCTGACGGGTTGGTGCTCGAGGAGAGCTGGGGCTTGCGCGCTGCGAGCTGCGCTTCAGGCGTTGCGCCGCGAAGTACTCGGACACCGAGAGCCTGGAAGGCGTCAAGGGTGTGCGCGCGGGCGCTGGCGTTCGCGGAGGTGCGGAGGCACGCAGTGCAGCAGCACGAGAGGAGCGAGGCTCCGAGGCGGATCTCGCGAAAGGCTGTCTGCGGTCGAAAGACCAAAAGGCTTTATGACTTGAAGTCATGTGAGGGCGCGTTGCGCCGAGAAGTTCTCAGAGAAGTCCACGCGATGTGGATTGACTCGTTTGAGCAGGAGGCTTGACGGAACAAGACCCGGAGGTTTGCCGTTAAGCGTGAACACCCGTGTCCACGGTTTGGTGGGGGAGGGTGTAACGGGGTTACACGAGAGTTACCCGAAGGGTTATGAAGTGGATACACAATGTCTAACCTAAATCAGTAGGAGAATCAGTACATGGCTTCAGAGCCACTGATTATGCATATGACTAGGGTTCACTATGCTAGATAGTGAACCGGATACATTTACTCCGTAGGCGGCTTGGCCGCGCTAAAGGGAAATACATTCAGTTTTGAGATTCACACAGTTGAGAGTTAAGGGTTGACTCTTGGGGTCCGTAAGGTGTACGGACTCGTACGTTCTGGTATTAGAACGGGCTATCTTAAGCTGAGACTCTGTGAGTCTGTCAAGCTTCCTCTGACGCTAAAGCTACGGCAGCGCCGCTGCAGGAATCCTCAGTCTCTATGGACCACCCGTCGTGGTGATCGTAAATGTATGTAGCCTTTGGTGTGTCTACACCAAGGTCGAGAAAGTCTTTCGAACTTCTAACAGACGTCGTGTCTGTTTGAGTTACAAGTGACTGTAGTCACTTGTGCGTATAATCCTGTTACAGGTTCTCCGCTACTGCGCCAGCGGTCGTCAACTTAGACGTGCTCGTTATGGAACGAGCACGCTCTCTTCAACGTGATGCATTGACCGAACTGTCAATGGTGGTTGACGCGCCGAGACCGGCACGTCTAACCTTAACGGGGGGATGGCGTAACGGGGTTACACGCACAAGTGGCAACAGCCTTTGTCACTCTAACAGACGCGATGTTTGTTAGATGCCTGAACACTTCCTCGACCTTGGTGTAAGGTACAACGACGGCTACATACATTTACGACCACCATGACGGATGATCCATACACATTTAGGATTCCTATTGGTCAAAAGCAGCATATTTTAGCCAATGAGAGTCTTGCATGTTAGCGCAATCCCGCCAACCAGCCGTTGGCAGATTCCTAGTTCAGAATATTACCTTAGGGGAAGTCAAAGCATAAAACACAAATAACAGTTCTCATACTTACAAAAATATGCTACTTGATGTTTTTATATTGGACGCCTACCAAAAATAGAGAAATAACCCAACATAGATGCAGCAGATATGACAGGACTTATCGCCAAGTATGTCAACATATCCTAAATTCTGTCCACCACAAATATATTAACGACGAATCTCTGGTCGATACAAACGGTCTCATATTAGAAAGATATCGCCTCATCTTGCACAACATAGGACATTTCGAACGGGACAGCAGTACAGCTGAATCTATCCAGTTCGGCTTGAAGTTTGGCTTGAAGGTCGCCATTTCCCTTCGAGATCCCTCCTACGCAGGCGCGATCCCCCCTGCGAGTTTCCTGCGAGCGCGATGCTCGAGGAAGACGAAGGCATGCTGCTGCTCCTGTGCGAGGCCTTCAAGGCGCACAACGAGCGCGTGCGCGACGCTCACCGCGACGTCCACCAGCTGATGCTGGAGGAGGAATGGCGCATCGCCATGCACACGCGTCATTACCTGACTACACGGTGTCTCGATGCACCGTGTGAGTCCGCATGGATGACCCTCTACATGCACGGCTCTGATGTGAATTTTCTGAACGCAACGAGTTTAACCAGGTAAAGTGTAATTATCATTTTGACGCGGTTTCCTGCGCTAACACTATAGCCTCCATGTCTGTAGATGGGCTTTTCATCAGTTGCTGTCTAGGTTTGCTAGCTTCTACGACCTCCCTCCTCCGTCATCCCGAGGCCGCCCCCCAAAGCTGCGCTACCTACACCAGGTGCTGAGGCTCGTACTGAGCTTCTACGTGGGCTCTATGGATCAGAGCTCGCTGTGCATCATGTTCGGGGTGCCGCCGAGCACTCTATCACGAACGCTGTCGCTAGTGCTGACTGGCTACGCACCTGCACGCATCTCCTGGCCCTCGCCCTTGCGTCAGGCGGAGCTGGCACGCATGGTCAACAAGCGCGAACCGCTGCTGACCCACACGTTCGGGTTCATCGACGGTAAAAACTTACGTGTACGTGTACTGTATATGATATTGGTAGTAACGGCTTTTAGGATATCTCAACTAACTGAATTCGATTGTGATGTGAGTGCACAGGTCCAGCAGCCCTCTAACGCTGACCTACAAAATGCCATGTATAATGGCTGGCTACACTCGGCCTTCGTGACCGGCACGATTTGTTTTGCCGCTGACAGCTGCATCATTTGGTCGAAGCACAACTGTCCGGGGTCGTGGAACGACTCGGACACGTCCTTGGAGTTCCGCAACAAGCTCACGGACCCCCAGTTGTGCCCCGACGAACGCATGAATGTAGTGTCGGGCTCTGCATTTCCCTGCTCTACAGCCATGACAGGGAGGATCCTGACCCCCTTGAAGGACGGGGACGTCGAGTGCATTGAGCCTTGCCTCTGCAGCGCCGCACGCACACTGCACAATGCGATCACCTCCATTCGCAGGCTGCCGAATGGGGAATGGGCAGTGTCCGGAAAGTTTACAATCGCCTCAATTTGCCGCTGCCCTACGACCCGGATCTACAAGGAATGCGACTCAACAACCTATTCAGGATGGCGAACTACAGAGTTCGCACGGTCGGCATCTCCGAGATCGAGACCACGTTCCGGGCGTCATGGAGATGCCAAACCAAGACATGTTCGAATCTCTATGATTGCTTTTGCGTAAAGCTGGTTCAATAGAAAGCTTCGTAGTTAATTTCATAGTTATCGTACTGCACAGCTATCGTTGAAGGCATCGGTGGGACTGCTAACAAATACAGCACGAGATTCGAGCTCGTAAATGGACTGTGTTGCTTGTGTTTGATCATCGCTATATAGGGCTGTATTGAGATGTTACGCTACTAAATGCACTTCCTCCCTCCTTAGATCTTCCTCGCTGTTGCCTTCACCGCGCAAGGGCACTCACAGCTCATTCCTTCTTCGTTAGCGCGCCCAGGATGAGCAACAGCTCTTGAGTGCGCGCACGAGCGTCCTCCTTGTCACGACGGGCGCGCTCCTCCGCCTTCTGCTTCTCCTGACGGCGACGCTACACCGCCTCCTGCTTCTCAAGTCGGCTACGCTCTTCGGCCTCTGCTTTGTCAGCGAGGTAGCGTGCCTCGCGGGCCGCCTGCTCATCGCGACGGCGCTGCTCTTCGTCAGCACGGCGAAGTTCCGCCTTGCGCTCGTTTTCCTCACGCATCATGAGCAGCATCTCGAACATGGTGCCCCCCATCTTGCTGGAGCTGCTCTCCAGGTAGGACAAGCGCTTCTTCAGCTCTGTCGTCGCCCTCACAGCCTTCACGCGCTTTACTTTGGCGTAGCTAGCCTCAGCCAGCTCTTCGTCCTCATCCGCAGCACGCTTGCGTCCCACGGTATCGCGGAGCTCAGCCAAGTTGATACCACCAAGTCTGTTGGAGGAAGTCGCGTAGCGCTTCTGCTTCAGTGGCTTCTTGCCTTGCGAACGTCCAGCGGTGGCTGGTTGAGAAGCGCTCGCCACATTAGCACCGTCTGTGGTTACTGTGGACGCGGCAGCGGCCGCCACCCCCATCGCACTCGGGCCTCGACCCGTCTTCTTTGTTGTAGAAGATCGCAACTTTCTCTGCGTCGGCTGCGCAGCCGGCGGAGACGGCCGCGGCGTAGCAAAGCCTCCAACCCCTCGCAAACACCGGTCGAGGGCAGCAACTCCGAGAAGTCGCCGTTGTTCATGTTGGTGTTGTCCCCGGCCGATGTCTGCGTCTCGCCCGAATGCATGCAGTCGCTGGTGGAGGCTCTCTCGCTCGTGTCGGCGTCGTCGCTCGCGCGCGAGTTGTCATCGAGCCCCTCATCGCCGTCGAAGTCGAAGCACAAGTCAGCTTCATACTCCTCCTACTCCTCCTCATTCTCGCCCTCTTCCTCAACTTCATTGTCGACATCAGCGCCATCGTCCATGTCGACCACACTGGCCTTGGCGTCGATGGCCTGTTTAAGCAGCTTCGCCTGCTTCACGTGCGGCGGCATGTCAGCTACACCGGTAGGCTTCCGTGCTCCGTAGATCACCTTGAACTTATGGCGCAGACTTTCATAGTCGCGCTCAGCGACACCACGCCCTCGGTTGGAGTTGTAAGCAACGGCAAGTCGCTCCCACTCGTCCTCGCCGAGCGGCAGGTAGTGCTCGACGAGCGCCAGGAGCCGACGCACTGCAGAGAGCTTGTAGTTAGTGCTTCCAGTCTGCTTCGGCATCTATACAGAAAACACGAACACGTAAGTTACAGTACGCAGAGAATATGGTATTCACAGGCGGAGGGTTTGAAACCTCCTTTGGCACGCGAAGGCCGCGCTGCGGTGACATCAACGGCGGCGTCGAGGTCCCAGTGGAGCTGGTACTGGCGGGCTGCAGCGGGGCTGCCGTAGCTTTAGCGTCAGAGGAAGCTTGACAGACTCACAGAGTCTCAGCTTAAGATAGCCCGTTCTAATACCAGAACGTACGAGTCCGTACACCTTACGGACCCCAAGAGTCAACCCTTAACTCTCAACTGTGTGAATCTCAAAACTGAATGTATTTTCCTTTAGCGCGGCCAAGCCGCCTACGGTGTAAATGTATCCGGTTCACTATCTAGCATAGTGAACCCTAGTCATATGCATAATCAGTGGCTCTGAAGCCATGTACTGATTCTCCTACTGATTTAGGTTAGACATTGTGTATCCACTTCATAACCCTTCGGGTAACTCTCGTGTAACCCCGTTACACCCTCCCCCACCAAACCGTGGACACGGGTGTTCACGCTTAACGGCAAACCTCCGGGTCTTGTTCCGTCAAGCCTCCTGCTCAAACGAGTCAATCCACATCGCGTTGACTTCTCTGAGAACTTCTCGGCGCAACGCGCCCTCACATGACTTCAAGTCATAAAGCCTTTTGGTCTTTCGACCGCAGACAGCCTTTCGCGAGATCCGCCTCGGAGCCTCGCTCCTCTCGTGCTGCTGCACTGCGTGCCTCCGCACCTCCGCGAACGCCAGCGCCCGCGCGCACACCCTTGACGCCTTCCAGGCTCTCGGTGTCCGAGTACTTCGCGGCGCAACGCCTGAAGCGCAGCTCGCAGCGCGCAAGCCCCAGCTCTCCTCGAGCACCAACCCGTCAGATCATGAATCCTAGGGAACTCTTTGGTGAAGAGGGCGAGGTGGACAAGTCCATGGAGGGTTCTCCGAACCGAGGAGATGCGTCCCCACTCACGCGACGCTCCCCGAGCCGCAGCGACGCTTCGCCCACACCGTCGACACGCCGTGAAGAAGGCTCGCCGGCCCCAGTTGGCTCTCCGAGCCGTCGCGATCAAGGGCGCTCCGCGCACACGTCTCCTGTGCGCTCCCCGAGCCGTCTCGCCACTGAGCGCACTGCGCCATCGAGGGAGGAGCCGCGGCCACCGCTGCGCACTCCGAAGCCGTTCCCCGAACGCTCTTCCGGCCTCTACGAGCTGCGCGCGCTCACGGAGCCACGGTATTCGCCACCTCGTGGTGAGGGTGTGCCGCTGGGCCCCGTCATCTCCAACCCTTTGGACGAAGCTCAGTCCGAGCAGGTTGCGGCGCAGATGGCTCCCACGCGCTCCCAGCGCCCCGAACTGCGGCCTCTGCTGAACCCCAGCGCTGCCGACTACGGCTTCCGGCCTCGCGACCCCGCGGAGGCTTGTCGCCAGGCGTTCCAGCAGTCTTTCACGCTGCACGCCATTGGGCCCGCGGCCCGTACTCCGGAGGATCTCGCACTGCGTACGTCTCTGCGAGAGCGGCTTCTCACTCCACAGTCTACGAGTGTCGCGAGAGGCTGCGGCTGCAAGCCCAGCAGAAGTCCGTGCCCGCCATGCGGACGTACCCGGTGGTACTTAGCCCGGGGGGAGACTCAATTGAGTACGAAGCTCAGTTCGAGTCTTGGGCCGAGCACAGCCGAAAGCTCAGCTCCATGGACGCACTCCGAGCCAGCTTCAGTGAAGTGGATGTTCGCATTGAACGCAAGCTCCGCTTCGATTCCGCAAAGGTTCGAGCCAAGCGCAGCCTCTCGGCACTCGCCCTGGCGCAGACCCAGTTTAGCGCTGCGCGCTTCGCTCCTTCGAGCACTCCAGCCGCTCCTTCCCGCGAGGGAGTGAGCGCTGTGGCTCAGGGTCAGCCTCGGAGCAATGTGGCTGACCCAGCAGCTCCCCAGCTTATTGCCGGGAAGCGCGGGACGACCGGCGTGCCGGCCTTGAGCCCTCGGGGCGCTGGCGATCAAGCCGATCAAAAGCGTCCACGACGTCTGGGCAGTCTTGGCGGAGGGGCACCTCAAACTCCCATGAGTTCTCGGAGTGAGGGTACCCTCGCCATTTCACCAGATACTGGTTTTGACCCCGGCACCGCCGCTTCGCCAGGAGGCGCCCCACATGGTAATGTAGATTCCCATGCTCACCGAGCAGAGCCGGTGGAGGCCGCTGTGGGGCCCTTTGCGACTCAAGATGAGCTCTTGGAGGTGCGGCAACAGGCGGGTCGCCTTCGGGATCATATCCATGACGTTGATGCGCGTCTGGGCCGGACTGCCATCGAACTCGACCAGCTCGCCGAGGGGACGCAATGGATCGAGGTGCCTCGAGAGGTCTGGGACCGCCTTGGGGCCCTGGAGGACTGGGTGCGATACTATCGCGATCGCGATGAGCAGCGTGGCCGGGAGCTCGGGGAGCTACAGCGTCAGCAGGCTGTGCTTCAGGGTCAGCTCGACCTCCTGACCCGCATGCAGGCTCCGACTGCTGCGCCTGCGGCTCTCGCTGTGCCCGCGGCACCTCCGGCGCCGATTCTTCCGCCTGTGCCTGCGGTGCCCACGTGGATGGCCGCGTCCTCGACGACCGCGGCTTCCGCGCCTGTGACCTCGTCCCCCTCGGTGCCTCCATCTGCACCTGCATCGGGTCCTGGTACGGCTTGAGCAAGCCCACGTAGAAGACGGGGTGCGTCCGCATCTTCTTCGGAAGATTGAGCGTGTACGCAAGGCCCTTCTTGGCCACAACCTTGAAAGGTCCGATGAAGCGCGGGCGCAACTTCGTCTTGAAGACGGCAGACACTGCATGTGTGGTAGGTTCTTAGCATTAAGCAACACCAGGTCCCCGACCTCATAACTTTCAACATTGCCTCTGCCCCTGGCATCTGCATGTTCCTTTTGCTTGTCTTGGCTCCCAGCCATTGCGTCACGCACATGTCGTAAGACATTCAGACGCGTCGACAAGAAAGCGCCAATCTGTTTACGAACAGTAGCCGGACTGACATCGGCTAGCCGATCAGCTAAATCGGCTTCTCCTCCCCCACCAAGCCCGAGGCCACCACGTGGCGGCGTCAGCGGGACGCGGGGATGAGACAAGCTGTTCGCGTAGAACGGCGTGTAGCCTGTCGAGGCGTGCACGGCGTTGTTCAACGCAAACTCAACGAGTGGCAGCATGGAGCTCCAGCGCTTCGGCGTCTCGGCGCAAATGCTGCGGAGCATGTCCTCGACGACGCGATTTACGCGCTCGGTCTGACCCTCGGTCTGCGGATGTCCGCCGTGGACATGTCCAGCTTGGTGCCAAGCAGTGCAAAGACCGCGCTCCAGAAGTTACCCGTGAAGCGGGGGTCTCGGTCCGAGACAATCGACTCAGGGAGTCCGTGTTGTCGAAACACTCGGTCCAAGAACAGCGTTGCTGTACCTTTACCATCGATGGTGTCCGGCACAGCCGCAATGTGAG